ATTAGGTAATTTTTTTTAAACAACTTAGAATGGCAAACAAGCTAACGGCCCACCTGATGGAAAGTGGTAACCGTCGCTTATAGACATGAGCAGTACCATGGACATAACAGAGTATACGTTTCGCCCATGATACCCCCCATGCGTTGCCATTCCTGAGGACTCAGATGTTATTCCGCCGTACCCAGTAAATTCACGCCATACCCCACCCTTCAAACCGAAACACAGCCATGCAAACACAACTGCTTTACGGTTGAAACACGAACAGAGCTACCCAAGCAATCGACTTTTGTATAAAGTCGCTCTCTGGTGTATAGACACTTTGCACTGGTCCCTTTAACATCTGGTCAAAGCAAGTTTTTTGAGACACCATAACATAGCATATCAGCTGATATTTGTCCACTGCTGAACATAGGCCTTCCCCTATTGCCCTATTGGAGGATTTTGCTAATAGTTGCCATGTTTGGCAGGTGGCTTGGCAACCGTAGTTAGGCCTTGGTGATGTTTTAAGTGGGACGGTGCTGCCCATCCATTGATCTATTTTTGGGATATATGTATATTTGGGGTGTTAGTAACTGGATATAATAGTCTATTTTGAGGGGAAATAAATCAACATGCGAACAGTAGACCTGATTAGTATAGATGAGATATAAGCGCTTTAAAATATAAAAAAAAAATATTAAGTATCTATCTAATAACTATGCATTATATTATTTACAGTGTAAATTTTGCACTCTCGAATAAGTATTTTTTATGCTTATAAAGAATAAATTAATACATATGAGAAATAACAAATTTCCGAAATAATTAGGTATATGTAAAGACGTTAACTATTTAATAATGCGTAAATGGATTAATGAACTTAATTAAACAATTCATTTACTTACCAAGTAAATGAATCAATCCTAAACTAACATATAATACCTATTATATCATAACAACAGTTATAAGCTGTTGTTTATATGTTTACATGTTTTTATATAAAAACAGGGGGCAAACGAGCATGCGGCTCGCCTGATGATAAGTGACTATTGCCGCTTATGAGCACTCGCAAAACCAGAGGAACTGCAGGTGTGCTGCCGGCTTTTAAAAAGTGACCTTGTTTTGAGATGTTTTAAGAGGGATGCTGCTGCCCATCCCTCGCCCTCCCTTAGTTGATTCTTACCATACCCACCGGAAAGGAAAGGGTGGCCTATTCTATGCCGGGACCACACGGCAATTATTTATTATATATAGATATTTCATTATAAATCCTGATCATAGATAATATTTTATATGTGACCAAGGTATATAATACAAATGAATTTGTGTATTTTTCATTATATTATTCAACTAGCAGCCCGTCCTGGCTTAGCATGGGTGAATATTTTTACAACATTTTAAAAAGTGATTATTGTGACATAACGGTAATAGTTGGGAATATAGTATCGCGAAGTTTTTTGTAGTTATTAATATTTTCTTCAATATTCTAGAACATACTTTTTTTCTATCACCAATAGTTTCCGCAGCGCACGCGACGAAAGATATTTTTTATTAGCATTTTATACACCTTCATTTATGTTACTAAAGTTTTAGTAAGGATCCCTAATCTTTTCCAGCAATAAATATAGCCTATGTTACTCAGGGTGAATGTAGCTTACTAATGGTGAAAAAATTTTTGAAATCGGCAAAGTAGTTTTTGAGTTTATTCATTACAAACCTACATACACACAAACATATAAATCTTTCCTTTTTATGATACGGGTATTAGTGTAAATGTAGATAGATATATTTGGTTTCTAACTGAAGTGTGAGATACTAAGAAATAACGTTGGTTATTATGATAGAAAAAAGTAAAATCAGTATTATTATTTTGTCTATAGTTATGCACTGGTGTTTCACGCCTGACAAGTTAGGTACTAGTATATTATTTAACCGCATCAGTGATTACGATCGGACATTAGCATATAATGAAGTTAGCTAATTAAAGTAGGTATCTAAAGGTGTTTTAGCATTAGTATTTCCAGTTTTTTGTTATGATTTTGCAATAAGCTTATTATGTTTTAATGAGATTGTTTATTATACTTATCAAATGTAAAAATTACATACATACATACATATCTGTCACGCCTGTCTCCTATTAGGGTAGGCAGAAACAATGGAACGCCAAATGCTTCGATTCAAACAAACCTCTTTCGCTTCTTCCACATTCATGAATCTTTTCATACACGCTCGCCGGTTACGGGTACTTTTAATTTGGCCCTTCTTCAGCATGTCGTCTATTTAGTAATAATATAAAATTAGTTCGAATATATTAAGATTGTAATTTAACGATTTCTGTCTATGAGAGATATTTAAGAAAAATTAATATGCCGGGTCTTGACACGACCAATAGATGTCGAAACAATATATTTTTTTAAACTTTATCTACCTGTATATTAGTTCCATTATAACACAAAAGGTATTGCACCAAATTGAATGCAGCTTTACAATTGTATTCTTGAAGATCTAATTTCAAATCTGGTGTATGTTTTATCTTGTTAAAACATTTAGAAAGGGTTTATTTCGTTGATTTTCTTACTTCTGAAATCTACGCGTACGAGATAGAAGACAAAAAGCTAGTCATTATATAATAGTATTCTCTTTAGTTGTCTACTGTTGGTAGATTGGTCATAGATTTATGACGATAATCGACTTCTTCGCAATTGAAGTTTTACAATGTATCTCCATCTTTTGCTGCTCATTGCCAATCGAAACAGCTACGCAGTGAGGGCTGCTGTGTGGCTGTTACGACGGGGTTAGTTCATAGTGTTGGTGATCTACCTCTACTACCTAAAAACGGAGGGAAAGGGATTGTTAGTAATGGGTTCTAACAGCTCCATTGCTAGCAATATACCCTATCAGGTCGACCTCCACGCGATTCCCCCTGGAAACCATCGTGGTTAATTCTTGTCGAATTCTTCACGATGGACCGACTGACCTGCTTTCATCCTCACCTATCATCTATTACTGGTGCCTCGCCAGCGTATACTGATAGCGCAGGCGGTGTTACCGTTGCATTTTCACTCATTAAAAAAAAAAAACTATCGAAAGACGATGATTACTTTTTTGCTTGTGTAAATACACGAGAAGTGGAAGACATTAATTATTTGTGTTTATTGATTGTTTTAAAATATCACGATAAATATATTTTTATATAAGTGTAAAAGAATAGAAGAGGCAAAATGCTGGACCACCTTATACGACATGACGATTTTTTTAAGAGCATAGTAGAAGGAAAGATAGAGGGCAAAAGAGGAAGAGGAAGACCGAGGAATAACTACATGGGACAGATAAAGGAAACACTAGGCGTCATGTCGTATAGGGAGATAAAGGATATGGCCTGGGATAGAGCTGGTTGGAGGAAGATGCATAAATTAGTTGCACCGACAAGAGGAAACTCTTAAATGAAAAGAGAAGAAAAGTGTAAAATTAATGTAGCCGGCAGCTTGATTTAGCCATTTTTTTTAAATTTGTATGTTATAATAATGATCTTAATCTTTATTTTACTACTTACAAGGAATATTGTACAGTGTATAACTATTTAAGTTTGAACTTAAAATAATTATCCTTGTGAGAGTCTGAACTAGGTCGAAACCGGTACTACAGATCTCCAGGCTCTATCCGGGTTTGTACTGTGTTTTCTAGATTGTTTTCTTTTTTGTCCTATAATTTATTACATTATTATTAAAGGCGGTTTTCCTTAAATGAAGGATATAGTTCGGTTGAAATGGTTGAAAGAAACATGGTTGCTACATATAAATCTACATTTATTATAAATGAGGAACTTGGTTTTTCCGTTACTTATCTCTTAATACCTTATTAATTTAATGTTAATCACACTAAGCGCATCCTAGACGTCGAACTTTGAAAAAAACTTATAACTTTCGACAAAAAAAAAAAAAAACAAAACGTATAATAAGATCACAACTTACGAAAAAAATAACAATATTCCATGATACACCTATTTAATGGGAGAAATTAAAACCGTTACCAAAGAACAGGCAGTGTGGTCTAATGACCTTTGCCTGCACAAACAGTCGGCGAATTGAAAAATGAGCACTGCGGCTATAAAATTAACATGTTTATTGATTTTTTACGTCCAATAATTATTATAAGCTTTCAAAAGTGAAAGTCTTACAAAAATATTGATATTGATGACTTTATGTAAATCAAGACTTTCAGATGATGCAGGTATTAAAACTTTATCTTGTGCAAATCTCGACATGTGTGTGTGTGTGTGTGTGTGTATGCGTGCGCGCATGTGTTTCTGTATGTGAATTTGCTTTTTTTCTTGTTTTGGCGACTTAATTGGTATAATATAGGATGACTATTATATTCAAAGTTTTTATTTTCACTAATATATTTTAAGCTGAAGTAACATCAGTAACCGCATACCATAGGGCCAGCCTTATACTTTTTTCTTACACTGATTATTGTATTTACTTTTTCTTTTAAAAACTTCGTATTATTGTGAGTACTGTTGAAATTTCATATACAGTATTGCTGTTGTATTGGCTTACTTAATGTATAAGGTATCCATGTTTATGTTAAAATAAATTTTTGCTTCAACACAATATGAGAATAATAATATGAATGTTAAAATACCTATATTGTGATTTCAAAGGTGACTCAGTCGACTCGCACATCCTTTTTGGATCTATATAGAAAAGTAGGTATAGTCTTGTTGAGCAAATACAGACAAGATTACAACCCTAATTAAAACCGATCACAATAAAAGGTGACAAATATTAAATTAGTATTTTAAAAGAAATATATTATTCTAAATTTTATTTCTAGCCAGATTGAAAGTGAAAAATTAAGGTAGTTATACACTGCAGTAGCTATAAAGAAGAACGACATTTCGACTGCTCCAAATCTAACAAGCGATACAAAAACACCGCCGAGGTTGAAACTATCTGTAACGTTCTCGATTAACATTCGCTTTACAAATTGATTTTTCGCATAACCATTGTTCCACTCACCTTGAGCCGTAGCCGGCGCTTGAGCAGCGATCCAAATAATAAGGGGAATACACAGTAACATATTGGTATTGTCCTCAACTATCACATAAAATCACTTGTTCATATTCATCACATCATCCACTGCACACGGTGAATTCAAAATAGTGCGCGAAAGTAAAAGTTCGCCATCAGCGGTCGACGTGAGTGGTCGTCAAAGCTCGGTTGTCGTGTCTTAGTTGGGCGTCCGCGGCAGACTGGCGGCCGCGCCTGTGTGCCCCCACCGCAAGCTGCCTTTCACCGTTACAGTTTAACCTAAAAGACTGTTGAGCAAGGCTCCACGATGACTGACATTCAACAAAAACGGGCCACCGTGTACGGAAATAGTCCTGGGAGATTTTGGCTCGACTAAGGTCGTATATGGCTGTTGGGAGTGGAGTTAGAAGGTTGTATTTGACGGAATGAAGCGAATAGTTTGTGATGCTGCACCCAAAATGAACATTTGTTTATCACGGTGCAATTAAAAGTTAGAGTTGCACTTGATAGTGTTTTTTATATTCTTAATGATAATGAATCTTATATATAAAAATCTCGTGATCGTGACCCAAATTCTCCGAAACGGCTCGACCGATTTTTATGATTTTTTTTATCTAAGAGAATAAATCGTAAAGTATATTTCATCTCTCTAGGTGTTTATAATTGATATTTAAATAGAGTCGCCAATGATTAATACATATTTTTATTATTATTATTATTTTTTAATATGTTAAATTTTAATAAATAAACATTTTTAATAAATAAAGTTTAACGACGTATAATAATTATGATAAAACATGCATTTTAAACTTACACTTGGAACAGCTAGTATAGTACATATTGAAATATACAGGAATGTATTTAAATGTATGTTTAATAATATACTAGCAGTATCCTGCGGTTTCACGCGCGTGAATTAGTATATAAAGTATCCTATGTGCTAAGTTAGGATATAACATATTCGTATAATAAAGTCCATTTAAATTCGTTCAGTAGTTTTTGAGTGAAAGATAAATAAACATCCATCCATTATTACAAACATTTGCAATTATTATATTAATAGGATATCTTGTAACTATATAAATGTATGTTATGTAAAATAAAACACACATATAATACATATTATGCATAAGTACTGTATTTATATTGTGTATACATTATGCACAATATAAAGATTACCACCTATTACTGTTATTATTATTGTAAACCTCCAAGAAAAGAGCATATTCCTTTTTAAAAGGCCGGCAGCACACCTGCAATGCCGTAGGTGTTGTGGGTGACCATGGGCGGCGGTAGTTACTTACCATCAGGTGAGCCGCATGCTCGTTTGCCCCCTGTGTTGTAAAAAAAAAAACATTGTTATTGTTTCAAATAAAGAATTATTATTATTACTTAATTATTGTTACTTCATAATAAGTTCCTAGTCATATCGTCGGCATGCTCGGTGAACGCGTTAGAGTGCGCCCTCGACCAACATGCTCATTCACTTCTCCCTATATCACCTTACTCAATGGACTAGCATACAATTTGCTTTATCTAATACATTTTTATCTGTGATAATTGTGACTGGAAGAACAATGAAATAGTATGCCACTTAAAACTGTATATATTTGAAGTAACAATAAAGGTTTTTTTTACAACACAGGGGGCAAACGAGCATGCGGCTCACCTGATGGTAAGTGACTACCGCCGCCCATGATCGCCTATAACACCAGCGGCATTGCAGATGTGCTGCCGGTCTTTTAAAAAGGAATATATAAAAAAACATATATTAAAAAGAATAATATAACAATACGAATATGTATATAAAAAAAGCTGACTAAGTTGCCAGCAACAGTAATATTAATCATCATATCCTCTGCTGAACTTAGACTTCTATCACAGACCCCATAAGGAACAGTCCTTAGGTACCTGCATCAACTCCCTGCAATGCATTTTTAGGTTTTTTTTTGATGGGTGAAAATGGTATGGTAACCCCGCCTGCATTAACGGGATACGCTGGCGGAGCACCAGTGAAGGGTGATAGATGAGAATGAAAACGGGCCAGTTAGCCCATCATGATGAATTCATCAGGAATCAACCATGATAGTTTCCAGGGAGAACCGCGAGGAGGCCGACCTGGTTGGGTATATTGCTAGCAATGGGATTCTCATTCTCTCAGTCTCCATTACTAACAATCCCTTTTCCCCTGTATTTTTAGGTTAACGCTTCATCTTATAGGGGGTCATAATATAGGCCTTCCCTATATGGGGAGTTGTCAGTAGTTGCCAACCAACTTGGCGGGTTGGCAACCTCTTTAGTTTTGATTATGTTTTAAAATATAACCAAAGCAGTTTCAGTTTTAAGGGTGGGATATAGCAGTGAATTTACGGGGCACAGAGGTGGGTAGCATGGGAGGTATCATAGGCGAAACAGTATAGTCTGTTATGTCCATGGTACTACTCATGTTTATAGACGATGGTTACCACTTTCCATCAGGTAGGCCGTCAGCTTGTTCCTCATTGCAAGTTTAAAAAAACATGCAGACAAAAATTCCAAAAGTTTATCTTTTTTTCTATTGCTATTATTAAGAACTGTCAATAGCAGTTTTTCTTAAATACATTCTATGTACAGATAGAAGTCTAAATACATTTTTATTATATTAGTAAGATTATTAACATTTATTCAGGTTCGTGACCAACATTCCAAATATTTATTTAGAGGAAAAATTAAACTCATTTGTAATAGACACTCAATATATATATTTATTGTGAGATACGCACAATTAATAGATTCTGTTTGGATATTACGTATGTACATTATTCGTTTCCCAGAGAGGTACATGTTCCACTGGCTGGATAAAAGGAAACACAGTTTTAGTGTGCTATTTGAAATTATTCTAAATATTGTAACACGACATAGAAGAATTCCGATAAAGAGCTTTATGTATTATGTTCTAAATGTCTAATTTGTTACAGTTTGCATGTACAGTCACATGGAATAATTTATATACAATTTCGATTTAAATAAATAAATATAATTTGAAATCGGGAGTTTCTATTTCCTTACTGATTCGTTTCTGGTTGCAATTACATATTTCCTGAACTTGTAAAAAATAATATACGAGAAGTATATTACTGTGTAGTTATGTAGTAGACATATATGTCTAAATATGTTTTTATTTTTACTTGGACTGAATTTTTATTAAAGTATTTTTTTATTATCAGTAATATAATTAATTGTACAAAAGTCATTATTTCCGTGTTACTTTTATATTTCTGCTGTTAAGCAGCTATATTTGCATGATTATTTAAATATTAGGATATGGTACATGACAGTGAAATTAGGTACTAGCTAAGAATAACTGCATAACATGTTAATCGTGAGGAATTCCAACACATTAATAATATATATATATTCCATATGTATATTCTGTAACATCACAGACTAACAGATAAGTAGTCTGTTTCAGGTTGTGTAAAAAGAAATTTAATATAATTCAAATACAAGAAATATGCATATAATATTGCATGTGACTGTACATAAAAAGTGTACTACTGTTACGACTATTACAAATATTGTAATAATAAAAGAAACTCTTTTTTTTTCTTAATATTTTGCAGCTATAGGTCTATAATGAGTTTTGAACAGTGGAACGGTTTAGTTTTATTTTTATTGACTGACTTACTAAATTATTAGACATACTTTAAATATATTTCAAAAATACGCCAAGTACCAGTCGCATATACCTACACCCCGAGGGTTCCGTCTATAATTTTGTTCTATATTTATAGTTATAAAAAAATAAGACATGATTGTTTCGGTTTCTTTTTTTAAACTTACAAATAGGTTACGTATTTTTCTTTCATCAAACATGCTAAACTCTATTGTGCGGAATGTATGCGTTTCAAATCCCAGTCTAGGTGCATGCCTAAACTAAATTTGACATTCACACAGTAATTACCTTTTATTTAATTAGTAGAAATAAGTATATAATATATAAAATAATTCTGAAAAGACTTACAATAAAAATTCCTTTGCCTCATGAAAAAGTAAAAACTGTTACATCAGATTGACATTAATTCACTAGTGTTCTATTAATATTTTTCAACACGGAACCCTATTATCGACATTGGTTGCAGTCTGTCCACACGTTCAGTTGCTGTAACGTCTCTTATACTATTGTTAACACATCAGCTATCTCAGATCTGCATTAATGTAACATACAGTTGGTAAAAAAGGTAAACAATAGTAAAATAACTAAAACATGGTGTAATTGGGCGTTTCATCCTATGCGCGGTTCTGACTATGGTGCCAATTGATTGTTATTGTTTGAAGGGGTCTTTCGGACCGCGGTGTGAATTGACCACTGTTTTTCGTTCAATCACTCACAAAAATATTTTATTATATTTTAATGAAATTTTATTTGCTACCTTAATTAGTAATATCTGTTATTTAAAAAATATACGCCCGATATTCGAATAAGGAAATAAGAACGGTTTTTAAATTTAAATTTACTTTCACTTATAATCAGTAAATAAATTATATTGAGTAATTGTTATTCACACTTTAGTCCAAAACATTTCTCATTGCATTGCTTTTAGATAAGGTGTTTAGAACTATTATAAAAATAATAAAATCCAAATAGATACGTTATTTAAAAAAAAATATGATCAATGGTCCGAAATGACCCACTAAAAAGAACACGGTCAGCATACTGCGATACGAAACACACATGGTGTGAAACGCCCAATATTCCACAACGTCATTGGCGTATTTAAGGTAATATTCCGAGAAAGGCCTGGTCCCTTAAAAAAGGTGTATATATATTTGCAGAAATATCATTGTGAAGCTGCACTCCAAGCTCTAAGGTGGGCACCAGATAATCCTGGGGTGGGCACGATCCACCCGTCGCCTCCCTTGAATACGCCTATGCATAACGTTCTCTAAGGGAATCGTGAATATATGTTGTATATGATCGTTCTATAGTTTTTTTTTTTAATAGAATTTAATGATAAGGTAACCATGTTCTAATAAAATTACATTATAACGCTCTCTAAATAAAATTAGTAAAGAATTGAAACATTCAATTAATTGGTCTATCTTTGATTTACATTACTATTGGACATCAGCATATTATGTTTTTGTAAAGTATACGTTTGTTTACATTTCTATTAAGTTCTATTGAAAGAGCCTACACAAGCGATTGAGGAATGTTAATTTAATTTTAACGATAATTACAAAGTTTGTAACCAATGCATTAATATGGTCCAATAATAATAATAATAATTAATTATATGGAAACACTTACAGTTAATAAATATTTCAATTATATTTCCAATAACAGTCTTCCGTTACACCTCCGTGTCTATGTTTAAATACTTTTATAAATCTGCTGACGAAGTACATAGTATTAATAATAAATTCGGCACATAATGATATTTTTTTTGTTTAGCTAAAGCATTAATTTGACATTACTGACATACGGTCGTAAATGTACTTGTAATTAATAATAATTTGCAATAGCAATTTTTCACCATTTTAATCAATTGGTTTTTTTTTTCCCGCAATGAATATTATATTCTCGCGATTTTTTACACGACACATAGTTTTATAGTACATTTTCCATATAATATCTTTATATATAATATTGCAAAAGAAAATCGTGGTGAAAATTTGCAATATGGTTTCGCTATAGGTATCCTAACTCACCTGTGTTACAATTATCCAAGGTAAATAATTTGAAATATGAAAATACAGTGTAAATATGATGTATCTGTAATATATACCTAGGTGTGTATGTATATTTATTTGTATAGGAAATTAAAAGTCAGTTCAATTAAAATGCGCATATTTTGAATACTAAATAATGTTCAAATCATTAAGGTGACCTTTAGGACGGAAATGTTATGAAAGGATGTTTAAGTGTATGAGAATCAAGTAATGTAAAAATAAATCAAATAAACGTAAGACGAGGCCAAACTTGATGGTGTAACATTTTAATTAACAAATATTATATTAAATAAAAAAAAAAAACATGCTTCAATAGTAAGAAGAAAAATATACATGGGGTACCATGAAATAAGCTGGTAATTTTTTTAAATCAGTAAAGGTAGCGCTGTTACTAATGCTACTGATAGAAGATAGACTACCCGTAAAGGATTTGGTGTGAATATAGATATTAGTAAAGTCATTGTTAACTATATATTGCATTTATGTTATTAAAGGACATGCGTGTTAGTAAATTTATTGCTATTAGGTTTTCAAAGGCGTTTCATGGGTTTAGCTTTTTTTTTTTATATTTTCGCATCATAAACTTAAATAAACTTATGTGGATAATATAAGGAATATTATGTTTAAGACGCGATTGACAATTATATATAGAAATACGAAATTGTTCCTAGCAAATGGACGTAGTGTCTTGTTATCTAGAAAACACATATCAAAAAGTTCTGTCCAATAAATTAATATAAAAATAAATATAGTGTGTGAACTAGGAACATACAGTCTGTGTAAGTATTTACACTGGTTGATTATTAATAATATAATGGGATATAAAATTTAATAAATAGTCTGGGTAGGTCTGCAAAAGCAGCTTACTCTATACAGTAATCATACAAATCCATTTCACAGACATTATGTACAAATTGCATCAAAATTGGTACACCTATATCCATTGTTTTATTTCTATATTTATAATTATAATATAATATACTGTATAATATAAATATTTTAACCTATAAATTATTATAACGTAGAAATATATATTTGTCCAAAAGGAAAAATCACATGCATACAAAATTCTTACAGAATATAATAATTAGGTATATATTTGGTTAATAATGTCACTTAATTAAAAAGTATCATGCATGATATTATTTTATTGTAATGAGTGATCACTTCTAACTTATCGTAGTTCATATATTTGTTATCATTAAGTATATATTTATATAACTTTCAGATCACTTATTATTTTCAAATAGGTAATTCAAATGTTATTCTGATGTTATTATTATGGACGAGTCTCTTGTACAATAAAATGACTTATTTAAACATTTCGCTAGAAAAATTCAGCAATAGCTATAGGATACGCCATGTTGTTAAAAGCTATTTTTTCGAAAAAATATAGTTCAAAAAAAGAGATATTTTATATTTCACACAAACTATCACGGTTGGTGTTATCAAATGTTTATCGATTTCTTTACATTTATTTTTTCTTTATGTAAAAATATACATAATTATAAAATTGTATTGTCCTATCGAAAATACCGTAATGGTGTCAAAGTGCCCTTATTTTTATTATAACTTACAATGATTTTCTGCAAAACACAATGGCGTAATCGAGTAAGCTCCTGAATTAATCTTATACTTTTAATTGTTGATAAGATTTGTAGTAAGGGGAACTATTCATTTTGATTTTTTGTTCTATTATCATGAAGAATTGGGAAAAAGAGAAACTAAAATTACACTTACACGATCGAATATAATTATGTTTATTGTTTTTTTTTTTTAATACTCATTACACAACAGGCAGGAAAATACCAAAGAGTTGCATTGATATTGTTATTTAATTTTGTTTTGTATGGAAAATAGACTAAGGCCCCATACCTTTATTAAATTAATACAAAATCAAAATAGGGCAAATCACATTTTCCTCATTTATAAAGTTTGTGCCAGTTAGTTATTTAAAAAATAAGTATACTAATTTATATACCTACCAATATAAAAAAGTACGAAATATAAATATACCCAGATAGACACAACACCAAATATAACATTTATACGCTTACAATACAAAGTATATTATAACATTTATATACATATTTAGGTACTTAATCAAATTAAATGAAGACTTGAATGAAATTACTATTTTAATAAAAGGAAAATTTTATCTTATAAAGGATAATAATATAATGCTCAAAAATTAATACTGTGCGGTAAATTCCTTAAGCACCCTGAAAAAATATATGTATTGGTATATCGTTCTTTAACCTATACTATATATATATTTCATAATGTATATCGTAGAATTATTGCGTAATCAAATATGCTTAAACACATCAACAAAGTCTAGAGATCAATCATTTTTCCACTATGTATGAGTAGATACAGTAAGTAGATATTAATTTACTTTTCGTAACTCTCGACTATCCATTTTAATGAAATTTTGTAAATGTGTATGTATTGTTTGCTCCAACTTGAGAGATAGGATAGTTTATATTTTATCTATAGAAGGCAAAAGAAAGTTTGTCGGATCAGCTCGGATAACCATAAATAATTACCTACTTTGGAATAAAATTTGTAGTTTGTATTGTGATTTCTTGATGAAAATGTGATATATGGATTAAATGATATTTCATTTTTCTTTTATTGTAAAAAAAAAGCATTAAGCAAATAATTAGGTAATAAATAATGTGTAAGAGTAGTGTTGAGAATTATATATATTATAATATAATTCTCAACTACTCTGTAAAAAAAATATGGAATAAAAATTATATGTAGAAATATATAATTATTATTCCATATTGTAGGAATTTATTTCCCATTCCACACAAAATTATTTTGTGATAGGTATCTATCACAGAATAATTTTACTACACACAACCTACTTAGGTAACAAGTTATTGCCCCCATTACCACAATGAATTACTTGCATTTGCCTAATTTTATTTTTCTAATTTATTATTTTTTTTATAGCCTAATGTGTGATTTACTTACTAATTTTTTTTTTAAATTTGAAACTTGTATATTCAGCCTTCATCCTTATTAAGTAGCCAGTATTTATTTCTAATTATATTTATAAATTTTAAAATTGATCCATAAACAAATTTTATCCATAGACTTTGTATTTGATGTGCTTGTAACTTTTATAAAAAACATACTCATAATGCAAACTTAATAAATAATTGTATACATAGAAAAATTGTTTATTGAAGAGCCAGTATAATTTTTTTATTACTTTGAAAAATGCATAGCACTTCGCATTTTAAATAAGTATTTAGCTGAAATTGATATAACATATTATGTAGACGTTATAAAAATAGGTATAGCCCATTTCCGTTAAGAATGTAGTATGAAATTTAAACTAATCAATCACAGGGCTTCGTAATCTAAAACACATCACATTTTGCTATTAATGACTTATTACTTATCTTGCTCAAATATTTATGAGATTGAATAATTTAATTTTCATATTGTATTCTTCTTATTAACTGGGCAGTTTACAATATATATAAAGTGATGTACAAAAACACATCTCAATTGTTAAAATTCTTGTGGCATATAAAAGCTAACAGAGTTATAGATAGAACACATTGTCATCTTTTTATTAGAAGAAAATTATATGGCCCATGTGTATAATCATAATTCTTGAGTTTCTCGAGAAGACGAGGCAGCCCTCTGGGGGCTGCTCGCGTTGACTGCCTGATGCATGATATGGACCCTTACATCGCCAGTCGCAGATTTGTACTCTAAAGCCCGTCTATGACGATTGCTAAACGATCCTGTTAAAGTACTCTTGCAGCAACAATAGTAAAAGAGATGGGCAAATGCGCGTCTGAAATTCCTATTCATGGAGCTGTACAAGAAGCTGGTGAAAACGGACCGACAGACGCCGATCCACGCGCAATGATAGAACTTATTATCGTTGGTGCTGGGGTACTCGTGCAAAATGACGAGATATGGCGTCCATGCCATAACGTATAGCAGAAACGCGGTAATATTTAAATTGGTGGTGGAGTAGTCTCGCTCATATTGCTGAGAGCGTTTGTAGTGGACTTGCTCACGGGCTCGCTTACGTACCTGTATGCAGGAAGAGACGAGACCAAAAATGGTCATCAGGAATGGAATAGCGTGGAAGATCACGGAAGTGGTTACTCTAAAGTAAAAGTTTCCATAGTGCCGGCGTTGGCAGTAGTCGTAATCGAGGCCGAGGTAAACGCCCAGTCCAGCGATGATCAGGCTAATGGTGAAGACCATAATCGCTACCAGTCCGACGCGCATTGATATAAACATTTCGTATTCAGCCGTGGTACGACACAATCGGTAGTAAGTTTCTGCAGCCACGAGCTGGGAACAAAATGCCATCTATATATTAAAAGTCATCGAAATATTTTTTTTTCAACTCTAAATCGCAAACGCCATTATTGAAAGCGTTAAACTTCATCTATAAACATGATCTTGATCACAACAGCTTGGACTCATGCATTACTATTTCTTAAGTTCTTTTAAAAGTAAATGTAGCCATGTAAAGATAATTGTTAGGCATCAGAAACGTGAGTGAAATAGTATCCATGTGTCCATAGGTATACATGCTGAACTCCCGTACTTACCGTAAAAAACAAACTGTAGCAGTACGTAGATGTTTCTGTGAGAAACTGCAAGACGTGACACACTGGAATGGTGTCCCATTCGCCGGCTGACAGCAGGACGACAGCGGACACTGGCATCACACCCGTCGTGACAATCAGATCGGCCATACCGATGCATGCCAGGAAGACATTGCCTGAAAATGAGAACTTTTTAGACCCAGACATAGAAAGAAATACCGAAAGGAAAATGGACTGGCTACCCCGCCTGTGGTACTAATTCTACGCTGACAAGGTACTTGCCATCTGTTCCTTTCACTTGTATGTCGTAAGAGACGACTAAGGGAACTTTATAGTTGAGGGACGGGTAGCAGCGTCCTTCTTAAAACATCACCGAGATCTAACTAAAAATAAGGAGACGCTTATAATCAACAGTAGACAGTTAACGGCTGATATGATGAGGATGAAGGTACTCGTGAGTGATGATAGTAATCATCAGATTCTATTCTGTAAACTATAGTATATATGTAACTATATTGGAGTTACAGAGAGCGGCATCGCAGCTCAAATAAAAGAGTTCGAAAAACATTTTGTGTTGCCCATTTTGAGAGATTGAAAAAATTTTCTTTTATATAATGGTAATAACTGTCATTGTTATGATTCATTTGAAACATATCATTTTTTTTAATCTAATTTCAAATGTCTCTGTATTCCTCTGTCTTTCTGATATTTCTCTTTGCTATTGACAATGTTTCTGTATTGGATCCATGTTAATGTTGCCACTGCTTTCTTTCTTTCATTGCTTCAATTGTTTTTTTTTTTTTTATTTGTTGTGCAAAATTCTGCAGTAAAGAAATAAATAATATATAAAATTTATTCGTCATTACATAGTCACTCACCAACTTTCTTCAAAGTGTGTTCCACGAAGAACGCGGCGACGAAAAAGCCATTGATGGTGGTGCCAAGGCACGAGCAGAATACCATGAAGAGCAGCCGGCTGAGTGTCGGCCACTCATGGCTGAGTGTTACCGGCGAGTATCGGGTACCATTGAAGACTGTGCCCACCGCATGCATAGAGTGATATGTGCCTGCTACAAGAAAATAATAATACACATTGCGCTAATTATTTTGTTTTAGTTTGCGTAAAACTGAGTTTCATATCCTTTGAGAATTGATTGATTCTTCATATGAAGTTTAATATCCTATTTCATCTGTTTTGTATTCGCTCGTTAATTGGTTTAGTAGTTTAGTCGTGAAAAGATAACAGAAAGACAAATAAACAGAATTACTTTCTAATTTATAATATTAATATGAATTATATAAAATAAAATCTTTACTATTTTTTAAAGAAATTGTTCTATCAATAAAACTGAATATTTACACTATAGAAAAATGAGTCGAAAATGACATAACATTTTGGGCCTCTCATATTAACAGCGCGTTCTGCTGTTAAGTTTTATTTTTATTTTTAGATTTATAAAAATTAAATAATTACCGCCGCCTGCGCTATCTGTATACACAGGCTGGGCACCAGTACATGATAGATGAGGATAAAGCAAGTCCGTTAGCCAATCGAGATGAATTTAAAATTTATTAACCACGATGAATTCCAGGGCGAACCGCGTGGAGGTCGACATGATAGGGTATTGCTAGCAATGGGACAGTTACACTCCATTAAAAATTTCTTTCCCCCCAGTGGTTGAGTTGGTATTGAACGAAATTCACGAAATCTCTGTCCTATTGTGTAATATGTTGTATAGAATACATTAAACTAAAAAAGTTAACAATTTCAACTTCATTGTACGTATTTTGATAAAAAAAAGTACGCAATATATTGCCTATCTATCGTCATAATAATCTTAATAATTACTCCTGCTAATAAAAATTAAAAAAGAAACTTACGTATCACAATATTAAAAATTGTATGCGAATGTATAGACAAATTGCGAGAGATTCCGATGAAATCTGAAAGAAAAAACAGCAATTATGTAAATGTTATTAAAAAAAAAATACATCATCGCGTGTAATAAATCTCAATTGTAAACAATAATTAGCAAATAGACAATCTAAACCTTAGATAACGCAAATGAGTACATTTTAATATGTCTATGTATAAAACAAATTCGCAATAATAAATTTTTATTTGAATTTTCACATTAATTGTGGAAATTGTCACTGAATAATAAATAATAAAGGAGGGAAATTGTTATTATATGCGTAAAAGCAAAAAAAAAACAAACCTTTAAAACCATCGAATTTGAAATAGGAACTTCTAATTTGAATTATGGACACACACTAACGATCCCGTTGAAAAATTACATTACACATACGATAACATAAACTTTAAAAATATCGAGATTTATCAATATTCGCATTACCGCGGACTAAGATTGAAAATCGCCTTACATTTTGGTATCCAACGAAACACAATTCGTCTCAGTTTTCCTTTTAATGTTCCAGTTTATGGGCCGATGACGCGTTCGATAGTTAACTATCTACCAGATGTTCACAGCGAGCGATCATCCAAAATAATTGCTTAGTAAATACGTTGGTAATAAAACGCATTCGACACATAACAACGTAAATTTTTATTACTCTTTATTATTGTAACTATTGTTATATATGTACAGAACTCAAAGGTCATGAGTTCTGGTAGTAATGAAAATGCCGTCTAATTCTTTAATGATGGAAAACACCATCGATAATCTAAGTTATCCGAGTGATAGTGATAGAGTCTCACTTTGCCACGTTGGATTGCCATATGCTCGTCGAAATGTGGGCATGTTGAGTTTTACGTTCATCACAACAGCAATAGTCGATAAATGCTTCTAACTACCCCATCAGGGACTATACTTATAAAGATATATTTTTATATATACATGGTGTAGACACCTAAGTAATATTCTAAATGTGAAACTAACCATATTTCATTTCAATTTTGTTTCAAATCGGAACGAAGGTATTTTTATTGCGGTAAAAGATAATTTTATGTATCTATATACATATATATATATAGATATTAATATTTATATTATGGCTATTAATCAATGCTTAATATATACATATACGTAAAATATATAATTAGTATTTTATTTCGCAAAAGGAGACCAATAACCGATACTTGATGCATGACTAAAATTTATAAAATAAAACCTAATTATACTTATACAGAAATACGTATTATTTACTATAATGACACTTTTAATTCATAATTAATTAAACATTTACAACAAAATCCTAGACATCTAATATATTTTTTGCAGATAGCCTCTCCATTTTATTGCATCAACAAATTTTTAATGAAAAGACACTTGAATATATCTTACCTTCAGTGTAAAGCAATCCCTATTATAAAACAAGAAAGTAAAAAATATATATTCTCGACTAGGACACTTTATACACCAGTATATAAATTCTTTATTTAAATTAGTAAAAACATCGAAAATGTCCAATAAGACTAGACAATAATTTTATTTACAAACACTATAAAAATTATCGAAAATTATTTATACTGCTACAAATGCCACCCACGGTTTCTACCGCCTTTTTTTTCAATAAAAAAATATTTGGTTATTTATGTGGTGGACTCCGATCTGTTACTAGGTGAAGGGATGGGGTTGGGATTGCGCCGTGGGCTAGATAATTCATACTGCGCAGGATGACGTACGAATTTCGGATCTGTAAAGGCGACAAAAAGGCGGCCCGATGACGCCGAAGTGAATATTCGAGCTGGTAGACACAAATAGATGTTGTAGTAGATATCTATGAGATAAACAAGACACAACAGACTATGTACGTGTCTATCTATTGACAGCGGTCCTGTTTTTATTAAGAAACACAATTAATCATGTGATTGTAGGTAAACAAAAATAGCATTGAATTTTAGTTGTTCATCCAGGCAATTTATTACAATTATTTTTTTAATATAGATATTTTTTAATATTTTTATAATAAAGATTTACCAACGCATATACCACAGATAACAATTACATAATTAAATAATTTATTATAAATAGTTTACACAGATACTAAGTATAAGTGAAGGGAAACACAAAAAGACATAGTACTATTGAAAATTACAGCAAACATACCAAATTGGCAAAACCAAGTTATAATGAAATTAATTATATTATTATCTTTTAGACAGATAAAATATAAGTCCTTAATTAATTAATTAATTAATATGCCTGCAATTGTTAATGGAGTAGACAGAAATATTTGCTCACTGTCACCTTTTGAAAGTAACACTGGACACGTGGAAGGAAGCGAATTTACCATAAAAAATCAAGTTAATTTAGTTTGTTAACGGTGTTTCTTATCGTTGGAAAGTTTAACAGATGTTTATTATATGTATTGACATAAAGTAATAAAAAGGCAAACTAACATAAAAAATTACAATAATTTAAGAATTCGAACACTTTTTTCCCGGGCTCACCATATGTGTTGTTTCTAGCTTTTCTAGTTATACCACGGAAAGATATAAATATCTATTTATTTATAAAATCAAATAAAATATCTATTATAAGTTGATTTTCTCAAAAGTTTTTTGAACATAATTAGACCTAACGAAAAATTTGTTTTCAAATCTATATGTACTAATATAACAAAGCGAAAGTGTTTGTCAAAACACGGTAATCGTTGGAACTACCAGTCTAATATGAAAAATTCTTTTTGCTTTTGATAACTCTTTCCTTGAGAAACGTAATAGGCATGGTACGGCGACAGACGAAGCTGTGTAAAATAATAAAAATGTTGTTATTACTTATAATTAAAAATTAAATTCAGTAAAAAAAGAATATACAAAAAATAATAATTTAAATCAATACCGGTGGCATCTTTATAATAAATAATAAGTAATAGTTTACTTTAATTAATTTTAAAATTTAAATAAATTAATCACACTGTATTTTACAATGTAATTATATAGTGTTGCACAAACCTTATAATGATTGTATTGTATTTGTCTAAATAGTCTAAAGAAATAAAAAAAATCTAAATGGCAATAAATAAATTTATTATTATTATTATCAATGAAAACGACATCTAACGAAACCGATAGCAAAGTAAGTTATGCTATGTTGCCAATATAGAAAGCATTATTTAGTATATTATCATAATATAACATTTCATTAGCTTTCCCGTGCGAATAATATTTTATATCATTATTTTTATAATAAACAAAAAGTTTTTTTTTATTAATATTATTGATTATTTTAACTCGTTAAAACTCTTGCCTGTATTTATTATAATGGCAACATTAAATCGACCTGTGGCTTGATTAGTGGGATACAATGCTGCCAGATTAAGCGATTATTCACCTTTTAGGATATATCAAATAATTTTGGGGCGATGTTGTACTATAATAAACATATTTTACATTACAATCAATATAATAAAAAAGTGTCAATTTTTGAAGTAGAAAAGATGGCAAATATTGAAATTTATCTACGCATTTAACACAAAGATTTCGGAATAGAATATATGGAATTTATAATTTACATAGTGTGTTGCTCATTGTATTTATGACATTGCCAATTCATTAGAGAGGGAGAGACGTATAAAACACATCTGCCTTTTGACTAGTCCGTAGAAGTCAAATTTATCAAGATATGTCACGTGGTTTTATTGGCCGTATAACCCTACCAAATTCAGATACAACCTACTTGCGTACTTTCTACATAAACTGTGTCGAATACATAATCTGGTTATGTAAAATTTCTTATTGACCTATCAATATTAATTAAAATTTTATATACTCATTTTTTTATACTAGCCTGCTATGAATTGAGAAAAATAGCAACTGATGGTGTATCTTTCATCCTTTTTTTACTAATTATATTTGCATTAGTAGAAAAGAGGCAACCATAGCTATCAATTTAATATAAACGTCAGACTGAGAATCCCATTGCTATTAATATACTCAACCAGGTTGATCTCCTCGCGGTTCCCTCTGGAAACTATCATGGTTAATTCCTGATGAATTCATCATGATGGGCTAACTGGCCTGTTTTCATACTCATCTATCACCCTTTACTGGTGCTCCGCCAACGTAGCCCGTTAGCGCAGCTGGAGTTACCCATCCATTTTCATCTATCAAAAAAAAAAATATAAATGTCATTTATTTGCAGAAAACTGTTACTTTAGATATAGTCCAATTTTTGGAGAATTTCCTTCTTTTTACCTGGCAACACTGTGAGATGTCAATTGCCAGTGTAAACTTTCATTCAAATCAATTGTATGAATTTCGTGTTTTCAATTTTTAAAATTATAAAAAAAATGTATCGTGATAACATAAAATAGTGTATATTGCTCTAATTATTGCAGTTCAAGTTATAAAATTTATGTTTTATTCGTTTTTGTGAACACTACATTCAACTTTCTCACATTAATAAATGGTTACCAAATTACAAGGTGGTTGGCCGACTTATATTAGGCGACCTTCGCAGTATATTATGTAGTGAATTGGCGGCACAAATTGGTCTTCAGTAGACCCCGTCAGAAGAGAACGTTTATTTAATTTTGTCCACGATTTACATTCGATTACCTAACCTATCAGTTGACATCGCTTCTATTTAAAGGTATGTATCTAATGTAAGCAAACTTCTACTAGTATTATTATTCAGTTTTACACTGAAAATAATTCGATAATAGTAACTATAGAGTTTCTTAGAAGTTTTTTCAAAACTACATAACAAAGCTCATGGTATCATGAAAAGTTATAAGTGTATCATGCGAGTAAATTTATTTAAACTTTAAATTATTCAGCTCTGGTGTTAATTGCTGAATTAAATTTTATTTATGTTTGCTTATTTATTTAGATATCTGACAAATTCATATCCCTAGGGAAAAGGGATTGTTAAAAATGTGGATGTAACAGTCCCATTGCTAGCAATATACCCTGTCTGGTTAACCTCTATGTGGTTTTTCCTGAAAACCTTTTGGTTAATTCTTTATTCATTATAAAAAAATATAAACAAATATTTTGATCAAGTTTATGTGACATGTAGCTTGAGTTGACTTGACTCGATAGCTACTCAGTAATGGGGTCTAATAGTCCCATTCCTAGCAATGTAGCCTATAAAGTCGATCTTCACATGGTGCTTTCCCTAGAAACCAGTGATTAATTCTCATAGAATTCACCAAGGGTCAACTGATCTGCTTTCATTCTCACCTATTATCTTTAATTGGTACCTCTCCAGCATATACCAATACCATTTAATTGTTGCCTATTAATAAAAATATTGGTTTACTTAAATGTGTTGTATGTTTAAATAAAATTTTTGTGTGTCCATAATACTAAGGTGATCAACTATTTTTTGTTCAAAAAGAGTACACTTTGCAAGTATTTCATAGGTGAAAAAAAAAGAAGAAAAAATGATAAAAACTTTATTTTCTTTTAAAAACATATTTTTCTTCAGAGTGGATTTTTTTGCTAAATGAAGATGTTCGTCTAATAATGTAGCCACATCCGAAAAACTTTCTATTATATATCAAATAAGGAATAACACAAATTAATCATGGTTTTTATTGTGAATGGCGTATTGCAATTGATGATAGGTTATGTGTTAGTACCCTACATAATAATAGCTTTTTCCATAAAAAGTTATAACAGTGAGGGTGGTTCTAGAAAAGCTCTGACTTATTGATATACAACACTTTCATTTTGCGTATTAAATTTGACTGGTAAGATAGCAGATAACATGCACAATGGCCCAAATGAGAGGCTAAGCATGGAAAATAGAGTCTTTTTCACATTCACATTCACAAGATAGCAGATAATGTTTTTATAGAAAGTTGCAACCTCTCACTGCTCCAATAATCATTCCTTTGTGAAAATACCCTTTCAACAACTTCTTACAGCAGCAGCAAAATTAGTGCCTGGACAACATACGGAAATTTCTATTAAATCTTTTAAACTTTCATATGGGATATGTTCTACTCTAAAATGCCAATTTTTTTATTTTTTTTTACAACACAGGGGGCAAACGAGCATGCGGCTCACCTGATGGTAAATGACTACCGCTGCCCATGGTGACCCACAACACCTATGGCATTGCAGGTGTGCTGCCGGCCTTTTAAAAAGGAATATGCTCTTTTCTTGAAGGTTATGTTGTCGTATTGGTTCGGAAATACTGCTGCTGGAAGTTGATTCCAAAGAGTGGTTGTGAGTGGGAGAAAGTGCCTTAATTAAATTTTAAATATTTAATTATTAAAATTGAAATAAAATCATCTAAAAAATGTTTTAGAAATACAAATGAGTATAAAATTATACAAATGAGTACTTTCTGAGTACAGGATTTGAAAAGAGTATGGTTTGTGACAAGAAGTACAAAACAGTAAATGAGTATAGTTGGTCACCTTAATAATTCATACTAGTATTATAAAAATAAAAACATTTTTTTTACAAATTACAAATTAGGGTAGTGTACGATAACAGCCACATTAGTTAAAATAACTGTGTCGTGGCTGTCAACATCCACCTCCTTCAAGGCAGAGGCGCTAGCGTTCCAGTAGAATAAATAAAACTGTTAATTAAATAAAGACAAAGTTAAGTTATAAATAATATAAACAATAAAATTTAAATAAAATTGTTTCAAAATTACCAAATATCATCTATACCGATATTATAAAACTGAAGAGTTTGTTTGGTTGAACACACTAATCTCGGAACTACTGTTGAATTAAAAAATTCTGTTACTGTATCTAGAAATGTTTTTGGCTATATAACATTATGCTGTGGCTAATAACAGTGGAGTATCTATAAAAAAATGTTGCTAAAACAGGGAAATTTAATCCTTTTGAGAGATTCTGTTGCAGACAAAGTTGTGGGGGTTAACTAGTATTACATAAATATAATAATGATTAAATCAATTTATTAAATGATTGCTAGCAATTATTGCATTTATACTGAGTACTAGCTGTTCTTAAGGGTGAAGGGATGGGCAGCAGCATTCCTCTCATAACATTACCAAAAGCCTGTAGTTGCGGACCCACTTGCCAAGCATAGCAACTACTAACAAACTTATGTTTAGCAATAGACAATTAACGGCTGATATGATGATGATGATAATGACTAGCTGTATTCCCTGGCTTTGCCTATATTAATTAGAATAAAAAGTGTTCTCTGTGTTAGTGTCTGACTCCCATCTGTGTATCTAATTCTATTTCATGCTACTATATTCATAATTGTTATAAACTTTCACATTTACAATATTAGTAAGATAAGCTCATTTGTACCTTCCGCAAATCATTGGATTCACTTTTCTAAGGCATTATAGACCATTTTATTATGGATGAAATGGTAACCCCATCTGTGGTATCGGTGGTAGGGTACTAGTGAGAAATGATAGGTGAAAATTAAATAGGGCAGTTGGCTAATAGCAAAAAATTCATAAAGAATTAACTAAGCTGATTATCACAGGGAACAATATGGAGGTCGACCTCATAGGGTACATTGCTAGCAATGAGGCAGTTTGACCTCAATACTAATAATACCATAGCGCCCTAGCAAATAAATTAATAGTCCACCTGTTGGAAAGTGGTAACTATCACCTATTAGAAAGGAACAATGTAGATATTCATGGTACTCCATGGCATTGTTATTTTTAAAGACAAAAATATATGTTATGCCTCTGTACTCAGTAATTCAATTGGATATCCAATTTATATTAATTTTTCATTATGTAGAAGCATTACTGTCACCACCTCAATCAGGCCAAGCCTGTTTAATAATAGTGTAATGTAAGTGGGACTTATCCATACTTTAGCATGTAGAATTATAGAGTGAGTTAACATAGCTACCTTCATTTCTTAAAAAAAAGCTTCCTGATAGTTTAATTGTGTCCTCTTCAGTATTTCAGTAGTTTGTTTCCTAAAGCTTCAATGTAAAATGGAACCCGGAAGCTTGCTTATGCAAAGAAATGTACTGCAAAAGGAAGTCACACAACTTTAACATATAAAATTATTTTTCAGTATCAATTTATTTGCACAATTTGTTTCCCTGTTCAATATTTGTTCACCTGTGATACACACTGTTGTACACAGGTGAACAAATATTTTAAAAATAACTATAATTTATTGGTTGTACATTTAATTTATTGAGTTTCTACAATTGAATATAATGTATTTAGCTAATTATGTATAATTTCAGAATCATCATAATGGATTTACAAGGAGATCTTGTCCAGACGATTGCCAATGTATCAAGCACATTGATTATCCTTCTATGCTCCTTTATTAAGGTGCCACAGATTATGTACATTAGAGAGAAAAAATCAGCCGAAGGCATATACTTGCAGGCCATGCTGATGGAAGTCACAGGGTATGTATAACTTTTGTTATCTTCATACTGAATTCCATATAGGGTAGGCAGAGAGGGTAGACTACTATCAGTCTCACCATATAGATGAGGCGGTCTAACAGCCAGTTATCAAATTTATATAAAATATTTCTAGTGTTCAAACCTATCTTTCCAGAAAGTTTTTTATTTATTTTTTATTTATATATTTATCGCTATATCGACAGGGATATTAATTTTAAGCATTTATATATTCTTTACGTTTATAAGTAAGTGTTAGCAGGAATAGGGTTTTAATGATAGTATTGGCAGTTGTTGAAGATATTTGTAATAATGTTTAAATTATATCTTTTTGAGATTAATCTCCCTACACCGGTGTTTCCCAACGTGGAGCTACCATTCCACAGAGGGGCAATTTGATAGTTAAGGGGGGACAATTAAAAAATGGACTTGAAGTGATTTTAACCCTCTTGCTCCGGGCCCTTTAAATGCAATGCTATGAGTAGATATCAGTGTCAAATTTAACAAAAAAAATAAAATAAATGCTGTAAATATTTATAAGGTATAATTTCCTTTGATATTACCAAAATATCAACAGGGCGATTAGAGTTGTCAATTAAACTTTGTAGGGAAAAATTAAGTATGAGGGCATAAAAATTTTAGAAATGTTCAAGTTGGGCATGGCACAAAAAAGGTTGGGAAACATTACTCTACACTATTCTGTAAAATTTTATAGATGTCTATTTTAAGTTGGAGAGGATCTTATGATGCTATGTAACTTACAGACAAGTGGCTAGACAAACAAAGATTATATGGGTTCCATTTTTGCATTTTGGCATATTGCTCTTTGATTCTGCATAAAATGTGGTTTTCAAGCTATGCAAATGACATTTAATTATTCTTATTGTATGGTAAATTCTTAAAAAAAATACTAACTGTATTATTATAGCAATAAAGCTGTTTATGATATGCACCAACTAATTGTATTTGATGTGCCTCAGATTAGTACACAAAATATAAATAATATTATTAGAAAAAATATTGTTTATTAATTATCTCACATATTCAAATACATGACATATTTAGATGATGTAGAAAAATATTACCACATACAGCAACAGAAATGTTTTTTACCTTAGTGACCACCCTGGCTTCGCACTGCTAGATAAATTAAACTTAATTTTTTTTTAATAATATGCATCCTACATGTGTTATATTTCTCACTCGCTGATAAAGTAGTTTTCTCTAGATGAAAGAATTTTTAAAATTGGTCAAGTGTTTTTTGAGTTTATCAATTACAAATAAAAAATAAATTCTTTCTCTTTTACAATATTAGTTTAGGTGTGTGTAGTATATAAAAATGACTATAACATTATTGTGCCAAAATTTATTTTAAATTGCCAAGTCGAATGGTTTTTTGCCAAGCCTAATGGTTTTGGCTGGGCTTTGATAAATCTGTTAGTAGTTCAATTTCTCTGTGTTATATGTATGCCAAATCTCTTGTGGCATGAGCGGAGAGAGCCCTGTTCATTCGATAGTACATATATCTGTATTCTAGCTCATCTCTTGTATCTATACCAGTCATACTGATTCTTATTTTAATTCTTCCCTCAGATAGAATATCCAATATTTTTATTAGGTACTAGTAACTCATCCTGGCTATATAACTTTTTTTTTTAATAAAATAAAGCTCATATTTCTTGTTGGTAATGTCATTAAGTAATTTTTGTTTTTCTATTATGAACAAAAAATCTTTTTACAATATTAGTTTAGTAAATTTGTATTATAATGAATGTGTAACATACTTAATAATTATTGTTTTTGTTTTTTAGTTTTACCATAGTAACCCTCTACAACTACACAAATCAGTATGGTCTGATCACATACCTGGAGTATCCCATAATTCTTCTGCAAGTCTATGTTTTGTTTTACTACGTGCTGAAGTACAAGAGGCTGATCCAGCTGCCTGTGGTACCGATTGCTACACTCCTATACTTCGGTACGGTGGGTGCGTTGATGGTGGGGTTACTCCCGAAGAGTATACTATCTTATCTTGTGGTTAGTACAGTTCATAGCAAATTTATAGCCAATAAACTAGATTTATAATTTACTGGTACATTACACGATTTCACATAGTAACAGAAATGTAAATTACAATGAGTTTAAACATTAGTGATGTTTATAATATTATATAGTACTTGTTTTTTTTTTGTATGTGTAATAATGGTGTTGTTAGCTCGCCTGCGCTATCGGTATATTCTGGCAGGACCCCAGTAAGAGATTATAGGCGAGGTAAAGTCACGTAAGTTGGCCCATCATGACGAGGATATCAAGAATGAACCACAATGGTTTAATGGGAGAACTGCGTGGTGGTGAACGTGAGGAGGTTACTAGTAATGGGAAAGCGTTACTACCAGTTTATTCTTCTATTCCTTTTCCTATGCTATATATTCTATGCTCCATGATATCATGGATATTGTGTCATGCTATGGTATAGGCCCAGCATAGAGTAAGCCACCCCTTAATTTCCCACGGATGTCATAAGAGATGACTAAGGGAACCTAATACTCGAGGGATGGGCAGCAGCGTCTCTCTTAAAATAATTTCAAACCTAGCTGCAGTTGCCAACCCACCTGCCAAGCGTGGCAACTATTGGCAAACGCCCCCAAGACAGAGGCCTATGGTCAGCAGTGAACAGTTAACGGCTGATATTATCATCGTCATGGTACGTCATATAGATATGAATAAAGACTATTTAAGATAAGAAATACCAGAGGGAGACTTTGTACAAAAGTCGATTGCTTGGGTACCTCTGTCCCATTCATGTTTCAACCGTGAAGCAGTTGTGTTTGCATGGCTGTGTTTCGCTTTGAAGGGTGGGATAAGGCGTGAATTTACTGGGTACAGAAGAATAACATCTGAGTCCTCAGGAATGGCAACGCATGGGGGGTACTCTGTTATATCCATGGTACTGCTCATGTCTATAGGCGACGGTTACCACTATTCATCGGGTGGGCCATCAGCTTGTTTGCCATTTTAAGTTGTATAAAAAAAAAATTGTTCTCTGTAGAATGTATTACGTATATATAATTTAGTCCCAATGCTAATATTGACAGTTTGAAAGCATTAAATATTTTTAAAGTGTTTATTATGCGAGCGAGTGTTTATTATCAAGCCATTATTATTAATATTTTCTTAAGTTATTTATATCAAGTCAATTTATAACGTTTAACACATTATGAACATTCCCTAATATTTATGCTCTATTTCACATACAAATTATAATTAGGTCATTTTATAATAATGTCTCTCTCTAACCATTGTTAATTAAGGAGTTCCTAATTGAAATAACAATAATAATAAATTAATAGGTGACTATTTTATATACGAAATATAATAAGGAGGTCATTTTATGATATATATTATTTTATCTACATATGTTTAATCTACTAATCGATTTCTAGTGTTATATTTAATTAATAGATGGCGTTGTTGAAATTTAAGATTGCGATGTAATGTTTCTTTTAGGAAGTGCATATGCGCACCAAATATTTTCCTTTATGCACATTTCACAACATCGTAGCGGTACTCGCTTGCTGGCGAGTGAGTACCGCATCAACGAAAAATTTATATCGACCGCTAAACAAATTTTTTGAAACTCGATCTATTTTATATGATCGAGTTTATATGAACTCTAACTGGAGTTTCTCGACTCGATAGCTACTCTGTAATGGGATCTAATAGCCCCATTGCTAGCAAGGATACATTAAGGTCGATCTCCACGCGATGTTCCACTTAGAAACCATCGTGGTTAATTCTCGTGGAATTATTCACGATGGGCTAACTGACCTACTTCCATATCATCCCTGACTGATGCTACGCCAGCGTGTGCCGATGGTAGAGGTTTTCATTCCATTGTCACCAAAAAAAAATTTCTTTGCGTAATTCTTCGAAGGGGAAAAATGTTAGGACACTTGATACGACACGACGAACTTATGAACATTATAATAGAAGGTAAGATAGAAGGAAGAAGGGGGAGAGGGAGACCGAGACATAGTTACATCAGGCAGATCAAGGAAGGAGTTAATGTCGTGTCGTATCAAGAGGTGAAGAGACTCGCTGAAAATCGTAGTGAGTGGCAAGAGCTCCACAGACAAGAGCGCAGCTCTTAAATGGATAGATAGATAGAATTCTTCGAAATGAATAAAAATGTTCTATGAGAATTTTTAACTTTAATAATCAGTTTTTACTATCGACAGTTGTATATTTTTTAAACTTAATTTTCAGCCATTCTGTACCCCGCTGAGCGGTTTCGCCAAAGTGACATATATCTATGGTATTATCAAAGCGGCAAATGCTGATGCTGTCTCATTGACGACATGGATAATATCTATATCCACAAATTTTGGTGAGTTCTGTTTTTGATAGAATTTGAAATGGAAAATAAGATTGGTCATATGATGGAAAGTGGTAACCGTCGCTTAGACATAAATAGCACAGTGAATGTTTCAGAACATATTCTGAGACGTCCACTGTGCTAATCGTGTTACATCTTTGGTAAATATGTCAATTGATGCCATTCCAAAGGTCTTTCGAATACTTTTATTACTATCTATCTCCTTGTCCCCTATATCATCCTTTGAAACTGCAATATCAGCTTCATAGCCTTTATTCATAGCTATTTAAATCGGCTGACAAGGCAGCATAAAATCCATATAGGACGAGGTGCCAATATCGAAATTCTTTGCGTTGGTTGATGCTTTGTTTTAATAAATTATAATGATTTTCTGGTATCAGTACTGATTCATATTTGGACTCTAAATAAGTGTAAGCCTTTGTGTAGAAACTAATTACTTTTATCAATGAACCAATTTTTATCGTTCCATACTTATTTTGAAACTTACTTCAAAAAGGAGTGTCCTAATTCGTTTTTTTTTTATTATTACCCAATTACTCCATCAGTTATAAACCTATTTGGAAAATGCTTTTTTTTATCTTAAAACATTAATTTACTTATTTTAAATAACTGGTCTTGTCGATTTATTTTGTGGAATACAAACTTAATCAATAATAAGTTCAGTTTTTAATCTGTAATCGGAGAAACACGAATATTGCCTTCTACATTTATTACTTAATTGTGTACATTTATTGTTTGTGTATATTTATTGTTTGTGTACATTTATTATTTAATTGTGTATTGTTTTCAGTCATTCTCCAAAAGAAATTTCCCCAATAATAGTTTTAACTAATCTCCAAATCTTAGTTAGCTGTAAATTCTAGTTTTAACTAGAAAATTATAGTTGTAACACAGTTATTTAGTAAAAACTATTACTAGACTACTACATAATATTCTTTCAGCCCGTATCTTCACCGTGTACCTAGACTCGGCAGACATCAAACTTATGGCAAATTTCACAATATCTACATTGCTCAGCTCAGGGGTACTACTAACTGCATTGTACTATCAACGCCAGTCAGCGGCTCGTCAGCACAGGAGGAAGTCTGGCGTCAGGAGGCGCAGTCATTATGATTAGACGGTATTCAGTTACTCGACTATTAATATAATTTATTCTCGTCTATAATAAGGCATGAAATTCCATTTTAGTAATTGACTAGTCAAAATTATATGAATATGTATTCAGCAATCTTGTGTGTTTGAAACCCATATGTAGAAGATGTAAAGAGGCATTATGTAGAAAGTTATTTTTATTAAAGTGTCAATTTAATTGCATTTAGCAAATTAATAAGTAAATAATATTATCACCAAAGAAAAATATTAAATTATAACTTAAAGTTTTACCTCGTGCTAATTATAGAGGTTTAAAAAAAAAGTAGTAGTAAAATAAAAACAGTGAAAAAACTATGTCAACTATTACTGTTATTAGTAATAACTACAATTTATGGAAACAGTTAATATTAAATTAATTTATTGTACAATATTTGTGATGTTTTAGATTTGTTAATTTACGGAATCCTGTTTGTCTCGCTACAGATAGTTCGTTACAAATAAGGAACGTATTGAGGCTCAGTCATAAAAGTATTGATGAAATAAAAAAAAATGTATAAGTTTTTTTTTTTTTTTTTTTTTATACGAATATTAATAATAATCAATAGTAATTAATTTATTATACAATTTTAGTAGGGGGTTTTAATTTGCAACTTTATGATATCAATAGCGGTATAGACAGGGAAGGAATCTATTAAAGATTAGGCATTTAAGAAAAAAAAAAAAAATGAAAATACTAAATGAAATGAAATCCTATAATTTTAACTATTTATTTGTCATTTTTTTATTAATAGTACAATTTATTATTGCTTATTAGTGATGTTTTAGTTTTTATGAAACATTGTGGCCATTTTTGTCATAGTTATTTATTTATTTAACTCTTTATTGCATTATAAACAAAAATATATAATATCAAGTGAAATACAGTCACATAAATATAGATTCAAATATACACATAAAGGTACAAAAGGCGATCTTATCGCTAGGGCAATCTCTTACAGACAACCTTTGGTTAAAGAGAACAGATAGAAGTGGATAGATGGCGTAAGAGTGAATTAATAATGTTTCGTGCATAAAATAAACAAACCTGTAATGCACATAAATATCAAATACATATTTTATTCACACAATTTATTAAACTACAAAATACATAAACATACACATCTAAATACATACATAGCACACACAAGGCAATATGACAAATGTAGTCAAAAAATTACATAGGAATGAAAAAGAATAACTACAGTGAAAGAAAAGTGATTTGACTTGTCTTTTAAACGAAGCCAAGGACTGAGCACTCCGTATAGACGGCGGCAGCGAGTTTCATAGGCGCACTGCCTGAACGGAAAAGGATTTGGTATAGTACACGGAGGTATGTGCAGGGGTTTTTAAGCGGAGACTATTTGAGGTACGCGAAACGTGACTCTGCACTTCACCGAGAAATATAAATCGCTCTTTGAGATAGTAAGGTGTAAGAGGATTGAATAGAATGGAATAAAGAAGAGATAGTATATGCCAATCACGGCGTCTACGTACTGGGAGCCACTTAAGCTGAGTGCGAAAATTAGAGATGGGGTCGTATTTACGAAGTCCAAATATATATCTATTACACAGGTTTTGGAGACGCTCAAGTTTGTTTAGTTGGTATTCGGTGAGATCAATGTAGCAGGTATCAGCATAGTCAAGGACAGAAAGGACAAGGGAGTGAGCAAGCGCAATTTTAGTGGCCATAGTTAAAAAGTTACGTAACCTACTGAGTGAGCCCACAATCGCAAAGACCTACTAATCTCTATTATTTGAGTGCCAAGGTATATTCCGAGATCCCTTACAAAGTCTTTATACTCCACAGATATCCCATCGAACATTATATGAGGTAGATTTTCCCAGCAAATTCTCGAAATATAGTTCGGGCTCCCGATAATAATAGTCTGCATTTTATTAGGGTTTACAGTTAATCCAAAAGATTTACACCAGCTCGATATGTGTGCTAGATCTGTGTTTATTATACATATCGCAGAGTGTAAGTCTTGTAATGGAGCGTGTGAGTAAATTTGAAGATCATCTGCATGAAGATGGTAGGAAAAGCGAAGTTGAATAGTAATGCTGTTAATAAATAACGACAAAAGTAATGGAGATAAGACGTCACCCTGAGGTACACCAACTAGCGTGTGACGCCATGATGAAAAGCTATCCTTAGTACGAATGCATTGCTGCCGCTTATACAGGTAACTTTGAAACCACTCGGTTATGGCTGGAGAAGTCAGGAAGTTTAAAGTGCACAGTCACAATCCTGACCATTTCCGAAGCAGGGTCATCACCCCCACGCTCCTGAACCCCATGGAACAGCAAGATTTTGCGTCGACTACGCATTTCAAGTTGATCCATTTGGCGTTGCAAATAACCGAAAGGCGGTGAAGTCTACCGCCAATGAGGAGATTGTGGCTGGTGTTGTACTTATCTTTTGGAGATCCTCTTGGAATCTTACCATCTTTGCGTTAAGAAGCTTCATCATTGTTTTCATTGATTGTTGTAGTGCGTCCATTATGAGATTATAGGAGTGAAAGAAAGGAAAAAATATCACTGCAGGTAGATATTAGCTAGACTATTAATATACACATAAATATACAACCACTTATACAATATATATAATTTAAAATTATATTTATATTTGGAGACAAATTTTAGCTTTTACTTCTTACACATCCACCCGCCTATCTATCTAGTTAGTTTGCTATAAAGAGGTAAGTACACTTCTTTATACCATATAACTGCGATGTGATAGACACAGTTTATTGAAGTTGTATATATATATATATATATATATAAAAGAAGTTTTATATATATATATAACTTCTATTATTATTATTATATAACATATATATATATATAATGAAAAACATACAGACAGACAAAATTTCTAAATAAATATTATTTTGGCATTTATTGATCTTATGAATTTTTCTTTAATATCTCCCATTTACAAGTAACATTTAATTTCAATTTTATTATATTTTATTATGTATCTATGCATGTGTAAGATGAAGTCAAGCCAGTTGGTCCATCGTGAGGATCTTACTTATATAGAGAACCAGTCCTCCTTTCAAACACTACCTTTACCAGAGAAAGACTTTGTACAAAAGTCGATTGCTTAGATACCTCTGTCCCATTCGTGTTTCAACCGTTAAGCAGTTGTGTTTGCATGGCTGAGTTTCGGTTTGAAGGGTGGGATATGGCAGTGAATTTACAGGGCACAGAAGAATAACACCTGAGTCCTCAGGAATGGCAACGCATGGGAGGTATCATGGGCGAAACAGTATACTCTGTTGTGTTCATGGTACTACTCATGTCTATAGGCGACGGTTACCACTTTCCATCAGGTGGACCGTCAGCTTGTTTGCCATTCTAAGTTGTATAAAACAAGTTGTATAAAACACATTAGACGGGGATTTTTTGACATTTCATACAAGGCAATGAGTGTAATATACAAGTAAACTTTCCTATTAGTAACATCACTAGTTGAGATTGACTTTGTCTACGAGCATAGTATACTTTTATTTCCAATAGTGTTTATATTTACTAACATATCAATGATATGATATATTTCTTGTATTTACAAAACAAGGTTGTTTTATTTGTGTTATTGTTTTCATTTATTATTTTAATTCATGTAATGAAATTATTGTGACTGGAATGTTAAATATTAACAATTTTATTTTATTTATCTAACAATAAGTATAATTTCATTAGAATGACCAATAACGCAATGGTAATGGTGGTTGGTATGAACACAAAGGCTATTCGCGTTCTTATCAATTTCATGGTACTATTACGTTTGCGTTTCACGTTCGGCGAAACTAGTGTTATCATTTTCTCTTAAAATGTAATAAATGTTATATAACTTAATAAATTGATATCTCACTTATATTTTCGAGGTTAACACGAAAGGCGAAATTTGTACAGTATTTAGAATATTTAGAATTTTTTATCGAAACATATGGTGTTCTATTGTTTCTGCCTACCCCAAACTAGAGACAGATATGTATAGATTTTTAGACAGGCGACTCTTTAGAGACTAATCGGCTAATTACAAATAGATCTATTGCCATTTTCGTGCTGAATGCTCTAAAGCTTAGGCTATATTTTGTTTTAAAATAGTTTTAAATTGAACAATTTATAAAGTGTATACAGTATTTTATGTCAGAATTATCTTAAATGTATATGTGTGTATCTTTTTATAATTATACAATTTTGGTATTCCAACACATAAATATGATGTGATTATGAAAAGACATTTAATTTAAGTTTCTCATTGTGCCATTTATTTTTATTGTATAATGGTTAATGTTTTAAATCATGTGTAATTGATATTACTGATAAATTAATGCATTATTGAAAAATAAATATTATTTCAGACTAATGCTTTGTTTAATTTTTTTTTAAAGTTTTAATTAAAAAGTTGCTTATAGTAAAAATATATTTATCAGAAATACTTGTTTAGGTTCTCTGATGTCAGAAAATATGATTGTCCATGCAATGTTTTCAAAACAACTTTTAATCTCAACAAAAATAGTATATTCCTTTTAGTATAATCTCTTCCTTCCCTAAGTACGTACGTAATTAGGTATATCAATCACTCGAATTATTTGCTTTATGATTCTTAGATTAACAATCATGCAGACTATCTGATGGAAAGCGGTAACCGTCGCTTATAGACATGAACAGCACCACAGACAGCACACCACAAGCTGTGATACTCATAATACCCCATATATCCTGGGGGCTATGTTACATTTGTTTAACTTTTTTATAAGCATTAATTTATAGTTATATTTTATCTTAGATATAAATGCACTGATGGCGTTCGTGGTAAAATTACTTACGTACCGAATCGACAGCATAGTCGGCATTGTTAACCGAACGTCTATTTGCATTTCATTTAACATATATCACTAAATACTTATAATATTTACATTGTTTAATGTGAACTCTCTGCTATTGCGAACGCTTTTGTAATACATAGCCCCGTTGAGAAAATATGTGAGCGAAGTTATTTATTCTCTTTTTAAACTTTTACTTTTCTATTTTTAAATTTGTGTTGTGTTACTTGTTTAGGTATTTTATATTTTGATATTTAAAATATTAATTCCTTTAGACGGTTTTATTATGATGAACATTGTAGTTAAGGAAGTGAAAAGGTCACTTATCCTTAATTAATTTATCAGTGAATAAATTATTACATAAAAATTATACAGATCCATTGCGCGTGTGAGAAGCTGGCAAACTTTGCATTGTCAAAATATAAATACCTACAAACTATTATTATTTATGAGTGAGTTAAATATTTAGAGAAATATTTAAAATGACAGGTTTTATTTTAAAAAATTACAATACCTAATGATAAGTAACTGTAACGGTGAAGAGGGTAAGTAAGCTGCTGATAGCTGGCTTTATTCATTGTGTGATATAGGTATCTACCAGTGGTGTAACAATAGGGTGGCAGAGCAAGAATACAGATCCTCCTCAGACAGGCCTGAGGAGGCTCCTGGTCTGAGAAGTCGTAAGCATTAATCTTAGCATAGCCTTATTATATAAATTAGTAAAAAAATATTTAATTACTTTGAGAATAATAATATTACATTAGAACATACATATATGAATGAAATATCGAAATGCTACGCAACTTTGCTACTCTATCCATAGAAAATACTTTGTAATATTTGTTATTATATTTGTAATTTTTTTTTTTTTATTTATATAATAGAAGGGTTGTGTCCGATTTCCTACGACACCCGATAGTATAGTTACGCCATTGGTGGTGGCCATCTACCTTAATATATTGTGCATATATTGTGTCTAACTTGCGTATTTTCTTCCTCTATTATATTCTTAACCCTTAACAACACTCGTAGGGGAGTAAGGTGGGGACCTTACTCCCCTACGAGTGTTGTTAAGGGTAACTACACATATTTTTGGAAATATTTTTATTAATTTTAGCGTAAGACCGTCGATCTTCACATGTATTTCCAAGGTTGACAGAGAGCTCGCGAAGAGTGAAAGTGAACCGAAATATTGTAAATTGTTTAAGAGATATGAAGCGTTGGGGGACGTAGGCCCCCCATAGTGTGATTACGCAAGTCTAAATTATTTTTTTTTTAAAACTTTTATTTGGGTTTATAGTATAGAATGAGTAAAAATATTAATCGCTATTAGAAAGGTTATCACACCGCCTAGACAAAGGACAAGCGATTCCATCGATGGAATCGTCATAGCTAGCGAGGTCATGAGATAGAGTGAGAGATTATCGTTTGCTACTTGTCTAGTATGCTTGTTAATTGATAGGCAGACGCGAGCAAACAGGAAATTTTATCCAAAAAATATTAATAATTTTAACGTTGTACCTATAGACTGTAGTCATCGACTATAATATGAGAACTGAACGTGGCATGATTAATGGTCATGTTCCAAATTAAGTTCTAACAAAATAAGGAATAATTTAAAAAAAGAAATAAGAAATGATTTTCTGCTACCTGTTAATGTACTTCTTAGCGCTTTAATGGCTTAATGAATCACTTTGAAATTTAGTATATGAGTGCTATATGGGATGGAGAAGGATATAGAATACTTTTTATCTCGGTCAGAGAACATATCCCGGTTACGAGGATGAAGGACGGACGGGTAAAAACTAACTATAATAAAAAACTAAAGTCACAGTTTGAAAGGTAATTATTATAATGATAAGGAAATATTTTTCATTTATTTTTATATTCACAACTTTATTTACGATTTGGCCTTCTAACTTGCTATTAAAATATAGCACCATTTTTCAGAGAATTCACTTATTTGACTTGAGAAATATCTTGCATGCTGTTCACTTGATGGTGAGTGACTACCGCCGTCCATGATCACCCACCCACAACACCAAAGGCATTGCAGGTGTACTACCGGCCTTTTAAAAAGGAATATACTCTAATCGGTTTGGAAATACTGCTACTAGAAGTTGATTTCTATATATCTATGTTATTCTTAAAATTTTGTTATATCATAAAAAATCCTTATGTAATTATTTACACTGTGGTTGAAGAATTGAGCAAATGCGTGGGGAACTATACTGCTACACGAGTGTAGATGTGTAAATTAAAAAGCGAGTGTTGTTAAGGTTAAGGGTTAAAGGCTTGCTTTTGTGAGGGACAATACTTGTTGAAATTTTTTGTTTGTTAATTTACATATTTTTTCCTTTTTGTTTATTATGTGCACTGTTATTTGGAAATAAGAAGATTATTTTGTGAACATTCTAAGTATAACACGTCGGCTTCTTGGCAAGTATTTGGAAATACGTGGATGATCATTGACCTCCGAAGGCAAAAGTACTTACCTCGTCGATGCCGACCTAAATGTACTTTTAACGTTTGTTTGCGTTTTATAGTAGTTGTTATTTATACTTATACCTACCAAATGAGTTGAAACTTAGGAAATAACATGTTTGTTAATATATGTTTTTTATATACGACTCTCAACGGGAGGTCGTATGGAAAGAGAAGAAGTTGCACAGAATGTTCTTCAAAGCCCTTCACGGGCCATATGTCAATACGAAGACCTCCGTGCACTGGCTACAGTTTGGTGATCTCTTCGGAGAAACCGAGGGTTTTGTCTGTGTAATACGGGATCGGGTGGTTAAGACGAACAATTACCGAAAACATTCTGAAGGATGGCACTGAGGACATCTGTCGGGCATGTCGCTGTCCCGGAGAGTCACTCAGACATGTGCTTTCGGGTTGTTCAGCTCTTACCAATACTGAGCACTTGCAAAGACATAACCAGGTAGCCAAAATATCCCATCAAAAGTTAGCACTCAAGTACGGCCTCGCAAATGAGAGTTTGCTGTACTATAAGTACGAATCTTAGAATAAGAAAGATGATCCTTAGAATAAAGATTTCGCTGTGATATCAAAATTAAAATTTTACAAATTGTTTTGGAGAAATATCACATCAGAATTTGCCTCTCTCGTCCTTTACCGCCACTCTAGCGGATCCACTTCAGTCATTGGAGCAAACAGTACACATTTGGAAAAACAGAATTACATTACCTCTATAAACTGCCGAATTATAATTGTAGGATTAGCATTATTTTTTTAAAAATGACACTTTAATTTGTTCAAGGGGATTATAGTAATTTTTTTATTTGTACTGTTCTTAAATTGGCAAATCTGTCTTTTTTAGGTATAATTGTATAGTTATTCTGTTTTATGACTATTTATATATTTATCATTAATCAGGCGGATTCAGGTATACTGATCATTAATATATGATATATCATACTAATGACGGGCGCCGACACGCCGTGGGGGCTCGGAAACTTTGTTATCCACGAGAGGTAAATACTGGGTGGGCAGAACCCATGGCACTAGACATTATGATTAAAATAATTCTCATCTCATATCATCTAGGTCGCGCTTGCTTGTTCAGCAAACAGTGTGTGTATTTCAGTTGAAATAATGACGATGGACCTGCCATCAGAAGAGCATGAGCACTCACGAGATTTTCTAGAAGTCTGCGCTCCTGCTTATATGTATATATATATATATATATATATATATATATATATATATATATATATATATATATATATATATATATATTATGCTATAAATAATAATAATTAATTCTAGGACTTTATCAATGGACGACCAAGGAGATTTGGTTAAAAAAATTGCCAATGTGGGGAGCATCATTATAATCCTGATGTGTACATTTATAAAAGTTCCGCAAATTATGAATATACGACAGAAAAAATCAGCTAAAGGCATAGATTTGCAAGCCATACTTTTGGAAATCACCGGGTTAGTATATTTAAATCATAATTGTTTTACTATCTTACTAATATAATAAAATTGTAACTAGACAGTGTGTGTACATGGCAGATATTTTAGGCGCTTCATTTGTATATGACCTTGACCGCCCCCTTTAGGCCTGTACTGCCACAAGGGGACGTTATCTCCCACTTTGAGAAAGGCTGCTCTACGTGGTTCCATCTCGAAACCATCCTTGTAAAATTCCACGATATATCGTGGAATCATGTAAAAATAACTGCACCAAATTGGATGCAGTTTTTACAGTTGTGTTCTTCAAGATATAATTTTAAATCTGGTGTATGTTTCATCTTGATATTGCCTTCTAGAAATTCCTATGTACGAAGTAATAATCAAAAAGTTTATGTATGATTATAACACTACGATAAACAATTTTTTTTCTTATTTTTTTTTTCACATCTGAGATGGCAGCAAGCATATTGCCCACCTGATGATAAGTTGTTATCGTAGCCTATGAACGCCTGCAATACCAAGGGTATTACGTGCGCGTTGCCGACCTTGAAGAAACCTCCTTACTATCCTTTTGAAGAACCCTATGCTGTAGTCTCTTGGGAAAACCTCGGTAGGCAGCTCATTTTATAACTTGAGTGTTCGTGGGAGAAAACATCTCTGAAACCGCATTGTACACAACCGTTTAAGCTGTAGGAGGGTGAACTTCCTGTCGATGGTGAGCCGACGATGGTAGAAAGAGGCCGTGTGTATCATATTGAATAATTCTTCTGAGCACAATAACGTTATACAAGCGGTAGAACACGCAGAGTGAGGCAAAATCTCCCCTAAGATTTAAGGGTTCGATACCGCTTGTAAGCCTGGGATCATTGACAAATCTCATAGCTCATCGTTGCACCATCACTAGAGATGTCAACACCAAGGATTCCCATGCTTTAAGAGACGTGCCCTGGATCTGTGGAGCCACAGCAAATGGTTTTTTATAGCGGTGAACGCATAACAATGAATGCCATTTAAGGATAACATATAATTAATATGCAGCAGAAACAACGTCGGGGACAGCACAGAGCCCTGCGGGACGCCAGCGTTAATGCCCATGTTTTCGGAGCAGCAACCATCAAATGGTTTTTATGCATCTGCCGGACAAAAAACTGACAATCCATTTACAAAGACTGTTAGGAAGTCCATAGTAGGATAATTTCGATATAAGACCCCGATGCCTGACCCTGTCAATAGCCTTTGTAATATTAAGATCGACAGCGAGCGCCTCGCCTTGACTCTCAATGATGGATCCCCATCGGTGCATAAGATATACCAAGAGGTCACCATTTGAGCGACTATGGCGAAAGCCATATTGGCGGTCACTCAATAAATCATGTTCCTCTAGATATTTTAACAGCTATGCGTTAATTATACGCTCCATCACCTTAAGAAAAGGTAAGCGATCGCAATTGGTCTGTAAGTTTAAGGGTCCGACTTATCGCTCTTTTTAGGTACAGGATGTATAAAGGTGGTCCTTCATGTCGAAGGAAATTGTCCTAAGGAGTACGAGATCGTGAAGAGACACGCAGGACATACCGGGCTGGTATACCGTCTGGCCTACTCGACTTATGAACATCTAAGGAGAGTAACTCCCGCCGGACTTTACATTGTGTTATACTAATTTCCGGCATAGAGCTTTCGCAGCATGGGATAGTAGGTGATACAGAATTACTTCGTCCATAGTCGAGTCATCGATTCGTCGAGTTAGAGGCAAAGAGATTACTTAATAGGTCGGCTTTCTCTTTAGCATTGTAGGCCAAGTTACCATTCGGTTTCCGAAGTGGTGGAAAAGACAATTGACAAAAGTTTCCTTGGGCTGCTTTAGCAAGCGACTAGAAAGTACGATTACCAGAAGGAGGGTTTGATAGTCGCCTACCAATTTTGCCTACAAATTCAAATTTGGCTCTGAAAATTACTCTTTTACTGTGTCTCGAATCAACGTTTAATTTCCGTTTTGCATCAGTGATCCTAGGATCAGACTTAGTGCGAGCCGTAATCCAAGTCTTGTATGCAGTTTGCTGAGCATGTCTGGCTTTCTTACAAGACCAGTTAAATCACGGACGTTTCTTTGATCCCATTGTCACTAGCGGGTTGTAATTAATAATAATCAACAATACGACTGATCGTATCTATGCCCTTATTTATCCTAAATACTACGTATGAAATTTCATGACGATTGTATGAGCCCTTATAGTCTAAGAGGTAAGAAACGAATTTGATATCGACATTTATGATATTAGTAATGATTTACTCGTTTGTGATAACGACATTATATTGTTAAAACCATATTTATGTGTGTATCACTTATCAGTTGTGTATGTACAGTCACGTCATCTTCATCAACCAATGAATGGATAAACCAATTAATACATCAATGCAGGGTTGGTAGATGCGATATTTTATTTTTGTCAAATAAACGTTTAATATTTTTTCTCTAAAACGATATGATTTTCAGAACTTTTACATAATCACAAACCTCTATCGTTTTTCACTTTGTTTTACCATGTACCACAAAGTAAATGACAAAAACCTTCCTTCTAAATTTACTATTACTTTTTCTTACCCTCTTCTCTTATCCCATCTTTTGCTTTGCTACCTTCATATATATATTTTATTGTATTTATATATATCTTTACACTTTACAAACACCAAAACTATACGGGTGGCAACCCTAGTCTTAAAACGCGATATTAGAATTTTTTACCAGATGCACTATATATACGTAGGATTCAATTGAAGAGGTGGGGTCCGTGGCCTCGAAGGAAGCCAGCTCTAGTGCTAAGCTGGTCTATATTAGCACTACACCATCCAGATGAGATAAGTCCCCAGTGTTAAGAGAGGCAATAGAACCTCTGAAGCAATATCCAGATGTCAAAATTCCCAGTGTAAAAGAGTGTCCTTACTTTCGAGGCAATGGCACAACACTTGACCCCACCTTTTATTCCTAAATTTTTTTATGAAATATAATTCTTTTATCTGCGACTTCTGTGTAGCCGTAATAAGTTTATTTAACCAGGATAACTCTTCTCTTTTCCAAATAGTACGAGTTTCCTGAATTTTATGACGATTGGTTACGTCGTTTAGACACTAAGAGATAATAAATATCAGTTAGAGAAGGGATTGTTAGTAATGAGGTTTAAGGCGCATCGTTTATTCTTGACCTTGGACGTATGGGCGTGGCTTAGCTTTTTTTCCCCGCTACCCGCTAAGAATTATCGCGATGACAAAGAGTACTTCTTTGTACAGCGATTTTTCGTCATGCGAAAGTGGTCAGAAACTGAAAATTGAACTTAATGTATACAAGGCCAGAGACAAGGATCTCTAACCTTTGTCCTCGTGGTCCTAGACCTCTAGATTGCAGGCAAATCGATTTCCAATATAAAAGACGTGCCTTATCCCCAGCTTTACGGTCGAACCACGCAACAAAAAAGAGGTCCCTAGGTCATCACTGCCAATTCTACGGGCACTCTGCCCGCAACTGCTATGCTTGCTTACGGTGCATCAAATACTTGGTCGACCATAGCACTAGTGAGTGCGGTCGATGACCTAACACGCCCATACCTTCCAGCCGAACATTGTGCCAAACGAAGGGACACACAGTCAATTATCGTGGCTGTCCATGCGCCCCAAAACTCGGCCAAAAAAGACCCTCATCACCCCAAATACCCCAATCAATCGTATTCCAGTATGAGCCCCAATCTGCATTTTGCCAGTTCCACCGACCCAACTACCCACTGCAAATTCCTTTTCCTTGAATGAAATAATGCCTGAATCAAACGTCCAGTCATTCTAAAACCAATCCCAACAGCACGTTCAAGGTTGTGCCTACACCAGAGCTCACGCCTGCCCCTCCCGTCCAACTTAAATGCATCTAAGGCTAACGATGGCTCCCTCGGTTCAGAAGTGAGCTCACTCTCTTCCAGACTCCGCCTTTTCAAAAGTTCCTTTTAGAAGAGACACACAGTCGTATGCGAGCATTTCGGAATATTTAAATGCAAAATGTATTGTATTTTTTAACGGTTTAGTATAAATATTTCGTATTTCTGTGCCGAATCATGTGAATTCACCTTTGGCTTATAAAATCTAGACTATTGGTTATGCTAATGCCTCAAATCCTGCTTGTTGCTAGTCTTTATTTTTAAGAGTTATCTGTACTGATAACATAGTAAGAATCAAATTATTATGTTCTAAGTTGCTTATCAATCTTAAAAATGAAAAGCTAACAATTTATAGCTTGAAATTAAATAGTGCATTATTGTTATTAATGTTAGCTAGATCATTAATTCGAAAGTTCATAATACTCTTTTATTAAAATATGAGATTGAAATTTATTTAGACTTTCAGATAGTTTTGTCTTGGCTGGATTGAACCTATCAAGCTTATGTAGCAAATCGTGTGGAAAAAATCAAACAATTAAGTTTTGATTTTCATTGGAGCACCATAGCAATGGTAAAACTAAAGAAAATCCTGCCGATTGTCTATCTAGAGATGTCAGGTTTCAAAGACAATTTTTTATGCTGACATAGTCCTGAACATTTAAAAAATGTTGACTATAATCATAATAATATAACATATGCTATGAAAAATATTTTCCGGTTTGCCCAAGCACGGAGCACCAGTGTAGTGTGATAGATGAGAATCAAAACAGGCCAGTCCATCATGATGAATTCATCAGGAATTAACCATGATAGTTTCCAGGGAGAATCGCGAGGAAGTCGACCTGGTTGGGTATATTGCTAGCAATAGGATTCTCAGTCTCTATTACTAACAATCCCTTTCCCCCCTGGTTTTGTACCATTAGATAAGGTTAATATGACTAGACCTTGTCAAATAGTTGGAACCGATTATGGCGGTTAAGAAACTAGAATTAGAAATTCTGTAATTACTAAAACCTACATTGTTATATTCGTATGTTTTATCACAAAGGCTTTGCATATCGTATTAGCATCTGACTTGACTATTAGTACTTTCTTAGGGTGTTTACAACGTTTTATTTCTCGAAGAAATAAACCAAGTAAAATATATTGTGATAATGCATCATACAATAAAGGTGCCCATTAAGAATTAGAAGAACTATATAGTATATAAAAATAAAATTCATAATTAATTTTGCCAATTCAGAGAGAATAAAATTTTATTTTATACCCTCTTATTTTTCTGTTTTTGCTAGGTTTATGTGAAACTTCTATAAAAAAAATATAAAAAATTATATTAAATGTGTAATTGGTGAAACAGACTTTATGATTTTAAGATAGGTAAATAAAATTTTTGGAACAATGTACTCAAATGCAACAAAACTTTTGGAAGCAGTGGCATAAGCAATATTTAGTTATGTTGTAAAATATACCTAAATGGAAAATTAATATCCTTATATTAATCCTATCTATTCTATAGGCCTAATTTAAATATAGGAACTATAATACTTTTAAGAGGTGATAAGACAATACCATTTAATTGGCCATCAGCCAGGATTGTTGGAATAATGCCTGGAAAGGATGACAAAGTTTGGGTTTTAGATGTAAAAACTCCTAATAGTTTTATTATAAAACTAGTAATATGAAAGTATACCCATTACTTTTACATTATAAGTGAATAGAAATAATTAATTGTATTGATATTAATTCCATTGTTATTTTAACATATTCTGTAAAATAGATTTTAATAATTTAAAAGAAAAAATCTTTTTTGTTTTTGAAATCAAATAATGCTTTTTATTTAAAAGGTTATTTAATGTATTTCCTTTTTTACAAATATTTTGTATATCTATATGTAGCCTAAGGCTTGAGGCCTTAGGCTGAATATAGATGCAATGTTTTTGTACATATATGCAGTATGAACAAAAACATTGATATAGAAGCTATTATATTTCATTATTGTAAAACGCTATTTTTTTGTTTTTCTTTTGGCCAGAGGAATAAAATGGAAATGGAAATAAAATGCCGTGTATTAACACATGAATCATTACCGATGAAATAAAAGAAAAACAAAAAAAAAAATATATTTTACAACAATGAAATATGCAGTTTCTGTATCAATGTTTTTCGTATTGGACTACACCCTATCCGGTCGAGCTCCACTTGGCTTCGCCTGGAAACCACCGTGGATAATTCTTATCGAATTCGTCACGCTGAGCCAACCTTATTTTTAATGAGTGATAATGAAATGGTAACCCCGCCTGTGCTATCGGGATATGCTGGCGGGGCACCAGTGAGGGATGAAAAGGCAGGTTAATTAGCCCATCATAACAAATTCCACTAGAATTAACCTCGATGATTTCCAGGATGAACCGCGTGGAGGTCGATTCGATAGGGTGTATTGCTAGCAATGGGTCAATTAGACCACATTAGTAACATTTTCATCAATTACCAGTACCTATACCAGTTTTATCAACTACAGGGTATTACGTTTTATCAATTTACAGGTTTGAAAGAATAGGCGGAGCTTAGCAAATAATACCTACTCTAATTATTTTATAAATTGTGTTTTGCGAATAATAATATTTTTTTTTACTCGAGTAACGCTAATTAACCAGTCATGAACTCAATAAGTTATTGTTAAGAGATATTAAATAAAACACTTCAGTATGAAACTAAGATGGCTGTATTTTTTACAAAACACATTACTTATATGAACTAATAAACAAGTCGCTCTTTTTTTTTGTCGATAGATAACATCTGCAATTTCCGTATCCATTGCAATGCTCTGAAAAAAAAAACAAATTATAAATATTTATCAACTATAATACTAAAACACTAAAATTAGAAGAAACTACTTTTTTTAATCATACCTAAAAACCTATACTTATTTAAATTTTTACTCGTAAAATCAAATATTTTTAAATGATGGATGAATGACAGATGTATTGTTTATCCATATTCTTAGCATAAAATACCTACAGTATGAAAACGACCAGTTTAATTTTAAAGTAGAATCGTAGATAGGAATCAACCAATTAATAAAATATCACATATTCATATTTTGAACAGACTTCAAAAGTCGGTTCTCGATTCGGTTGTATTGTTTTATATTTGTACCTCATAACCCCATTAGTAACCGATTTGGAAAATTATTTTCGTATCTAAAAGAGATTTTAGGAGACTTTTAATTTAAAGTAACTTGTTTTGCAATAATTGAATTCTATTTTTTATAGAACATCGTAATCAATGTCTGATATTGAAGGCTATATAATTTGATATAATCATTTATCTAAAAGGAGTGCTTACCTCAATGTATGTGAAAGAAAAGACGTAGCACTACTACAAAATGGCCCGACGCGGCCTCTTCAAGTACAGCCATCTTGTTAAATATTTGACCAGGAGACCAAGATTTTTCATAAATGCCATGATAGTGTATGTAGGGTCTCAGAAAATGCCACGTCTTGGGAGCTGGAACACAATCACTTTGTACTTTGAGTTCACCGATACCGGGGTTATTATAAAAAAATGATTTATTCCTTATTTGTATTGGAATGTCTAATCAGCATGAATGCGACCCGTACGATGGACAACGTCAACATGGCGGTCGTGGGTACAGAGGGGTGACGTATGCGGTCAAATTTTTATACGGGTACCCACAAAAAATTGCGTTTTGTTATTATTAACAAAACTTTAAATTGTAATAAATAGATGTGTATATGAAATTAATCAATAAGGATACAATTTGCTTAATTTGTTTACAAAACATTTGTTGATTATTAAATTGAAATTTAGATTTTGGATGTATAATTAAATGGGTTTTGTAAATTGAATCAAAATTTGATATTTTAAATAACCACACTACACTTTTATATTAGTACCACGACGAGGGTAGTATAGGTAGTAGGGATGGGTAATATTCAACATCTATATAATGAGTCCTTCTAGATATTGATTTAGAGCGACTTGATTATCACCTATTTCGATATCGAATCATGATACTTATATTTATTACGAGCGGGTTGGCATGTTCGATATAATATATTGGTCAACCGATACTTGACATGTCTGTTATTGGGCCAATATATGTATAGATATTGTAACTACAATATATAGATATTGAATAATATAACCCACTTTTAGTTGTTGCAATCTCTTGACTGTCCTGAAACGCGCTATTAAAGTTTTTCATTAAATTCAGTATATATAATTAGGGTTTAGTTGTACGTGTGGGGTCAGCTCCCTCGAGGGAAGCCAGTCTTGTGCTAAGCTGGTTGGGATTGGTCCATTAGCACTCAATCAGATGAGACTTAATGTCTAATGCGCTCCAAATTGGAGCGTAGGTGACCATCTCGCTCGATACCTCCGAGGAGAAGCCCACAACCTTCAATGGTTAACTCGACCCCACTTTTTATTTAATATTTGCCTTACTTACATCCCATAGTGTAGATATAATTTTATTATTTTAGTGAGATATCTTATAATAAATAAAATTTATAATTATATTATAGTATAATAGTGCTTTATTAATAATTCGTAAAAGATGCTTTTTTAATTATAAAGCACTATTACACCTACTTGTACAACAATTAGTCCATTTCCTTAAGGTTGTCTTGAAAAGATTGCTCTCAGCAATAAGACCGCCTTACTGTACTTGTACAATTGTATCGTATTATTAATAAATGTAAATTTATTAATTGTCTTGCTTATTTCCTATATTGTATAATGCAAATAAAGTATACTCATTTATTCATTTATTATTATATTTCAGATTCACAATAATAGGATTGTACAATTATACAAATCAGTACTCTCTCATCGCTTATTTGGAGTATCCATTACTCTTATTACAAGTCTACGTAATGTTTTATTACGCGTTGAAGTACAAAAATATGCTACATTCACGGAAAGTACATATATGTGCAATCATATATTTCTCTATCGTGGTGGCATTTCTCATCGGATTGTTCCCGAAAGTTCTACTTACATATTTAATGGTGAGTATTTTAATAATTTCATCATTTTACCTTATAAAATATAAAATTCATCACTGTTCATTCACCTCTGTTCCATTTGTTTTTTGACGTGAATAAGCTGTGCTTACACAGCTGTTTCTGTTGAAATTACAGAGATATGTTTTCAGAAAGAAAGAAAGACTTATTATATTCAAGTGAAATGCTCAAAACTTCTCTTATGGGGAAGTCTTTTGTTTAACAGTAGACAGTTAATGTCGTAAATAATAATAAAAAACTTAGATTTGTTAATTTTTGAAAAGGTATTTTCAGATAAAACGTAATCCACTTTTAGTACCAATACTGTAGGCTGTAAAGTGGGATTTGATGTATACCGTAATTATCCATTAGCGTTCCTCGTTCCTTACAAGATCTTGATATTAGCATACTATAACAATGTTGTTTTATATGCCATTCTGTAGGGTGTTATTTCAAATTTTTATCCTCTCGTCCTGGCCTGTCGTGGATTGTTACCTTGTTTTTTTTTTTTAAACTTATTGATGTGAAATAAGATTACATTTTAAATAAAACTTAATACCAAGTTTTGGCCAGTGTGCTAATAGACAGTACTGTAATGGGGATAAAGGAACATTTTGATATTTAACCTTCTTATTTTGGTATTAAAATAGAATTAAATTTAATAGAATAAAAGTTAATATGAGGAGACTTAATAAAGTCAATAGATGCAAAAACAATAAATTGTGTTCTGAATATTTGGTTCGGGATACCGAAGCAAAATATACTGTTGCAAATTAGATGCGGTTTTCACCGTTGTGTTTCCGAAGATTTAACTTCAAAACTTATTTTATCTTAATCGATCAGATAAGACGATATTTTAAATTTTATGATCTGATACTGCCTAGTGTTTTGCATTCACGCTAATTCATTATTTATATAATTAAACATTTTAAAAAAAGCAACAGTTAAGTTTCTTGCCCGTTTTTCTTTGCTGAAGTTGTCTTACGAATTGGAACGTATAGAAAAAAAAAAAAAACTATTAAAAAAATTTATATTACTATAACAAAAATATATTTTTATTTCTTTCTTTCTTTTACGCTGTCCAGAAATAATTATCTACTTACTACCGAGCATATTAGAATACATCATAATCTAGTCCTGAAGTTATAAACAACAAACTGACGTTACATTACTATTTTTTTTTATACAACTTAGAATGGCAAACTAGCAGTACCATGGACATAACAGAGTATACCGTTTCGCCCATGATACCCCCCATGCGTTGCTATTCCTGAGGACTCAGGTGTTATTCCTCTGTACCCAGTAAATTCACGCTATATCCCACCCTTCAAACTGAAACACAGCCATGCAAACACAATGCTTCACGGTGTAAACACGAATGGGACAGAGGTACCCAAGCAATCAACTTTTGTACAAAGTCTCCCTCTGGTTTATTGTTTTAATGACTCATTCAATTTTTATACTTTTTAGGTTTTAAATTTTGCATGCCTAATTATCGCGAAATATGAGAACTTATACCTATTGTTAACATCTATATACTTACTATGTTTCTTGTAAATAAATATTCATTCATTCATTCCAAAATGCATGGCGTACGAAGTTGCGGGCATAAGCTAGTAAATAAGAATATTGTAGACATTATATCTACCTACTTTAGAATTTACACTTCATAAAAGTATTTGGAAACAGTACAGTAATTGTCAAGTTTTCTGGGTGATCTTTTCAGCAAGATTCTGACGTCAGGTCAGATTGAAAAATTACAAAAAATGGTTATCGTATACATATTTCGTAACATGACCCTGAAATATCGGCTCCCTATTGACTTCTTACCATATTTTAGAGGTCGTAGCATTATATCTTAGAATTTTTTCAAGTAAAGATGCATATTATGTCTTAAAGCATATGTTGGGTAGGTGTTAAAAATACATAATCACATTTTTAAGGTTCCGTACCATGAAGCTAGAAACTTGATGCAATTCTTATGATGCGACTTCATCCGTTCGTCTGTCTGTCTTTCACAGAAATGACTAACGTTATCGATTTGACGTTTGGTATAGTTTTACATATTATTGGCCTACACATTATAGTAGAAATATGAAATAAATTTAATTTTTTTGCTAGAGGGTTTATAAGGACTATCTACACAAAATTTCAAAATGGGTTTACGCGTCCATTGTGGTATGAAAGAACCCATCTCCGAAGTTTGTGGAGCGAAAAATCTGAAATAATTCCAGTTTAAAAAGATATATGTAATAATTACTGAAAAAATAAAACAATGTTTCTAATTAGCGGCCGTCTTTGAGAATTTATCAAAAATCGTTCTTTACCTCCAAAATCAAACTTAATTATCGACAAAATTCTTTATTAAAAAATTTTTCGAATTGCTATATCAATAATAATAACTATTGGTTGCCTATATATTATATTAGTTAAATGAAATACAAGTTATTTTATCACATATCTATATACAGAACCCTCGTCTTGTAAGTTAAATTCGCACCTGACCGGCTTTACTCTTTTTAAATCAAACGTCCTTGTCCAATGCGTCATAACATATGTTTTTTTAGTTATATGTATGAAATATGTATAAATAAAATACAAAGATCTGTTACCTTCAACAATTCATCATTTCTTATTTAGGGTTTTAGTAATTTTATTTATACTTTTTATAAAATGGAAATTAAATTAAAATCAAATGATATTTATTTGCTCTGAATGTGGTACATAATGGAATGGAATCAATGACAATAAGTAGTTTGCACATTCAGTCAGTTTGGCATGCAACATTTTTATACATAATTCATAATATAATATTTGTTTAGTATTTATTTGTCAATTAACAGTTCATTATATTATTAATATCTTATCTATTGTAATAAATGCATTAATAAATTAATAATTCAAGAATCTCATTAAATTATGTTATCCATTTTACATTTAAAGTTATCATTAATGGAATAAAAACAATTATTAATTAGCCATTTGAATAATTTGCTCTTAGACTATTTTAAACAGAGAACAGTAACTGTATTAGGTAGTTTGTTATATATTTTTAAGCAATATGAATAATTATTACTGTAGTACACGTGTGTTTTCATTTTTGGTAATACAAGTTTTCCGGGATGTCTTACAAAAAAATACCTACAAAAGTCGTCTTTTTTTATAAATAGATATGAATATATTTTTACAAACAGGCAGCATTCGAATATGTACATTGATGGGTCTATTAATATTCTCAGCTGTCGAAATAGTGGTGTCATTGGCTGTTTATTACAGATGGCACGAATACACTGTTTTTGAGATATAAATGCTTTGTTGATATCAACCCACAGTAATATTCTATATTTAAGATTCGATGTAACATGTTCATGATATGCCATAACTGCAGTTTTTTGGTTTACTAATTTCGTTAATCTCCATAGTGCTTAATAACTATATGAATAACTTTATGCATACTTTTTTTACGTGTTGTTTCCAAGATCATTGACTATCAACTGTAATACCGAGAGAATTTCATTCACTTGATTAATTACATTTCCATTAATATAAATCTCTATCTTACCATGTTTTGGCTTTCTATTGTAAAATCTTAAATATTTAGTTTTTTCAACATTAACTTTCAAATTATTGGAATCTAGTCAGTTTAAAATATAAGTGACAGTATCATTAATGACGTGTTTGAAATAAATCTCTAAAGACTCTAATATTACTGAGAAGTCATCAGCAAATAAATCATTCATCATTTATGTATAATACAAATAACAACGAACCGTGTATATATATATATATATATATATATATATATATATATATATATATATATATATATATATATATATATATATATATATATATATATATCATGGTAAACCCTGAAGGAACACGTCATTGTAGGCATTGTTTAAAATTTAAACAAGTTCTATAACTAATATTATGTAAATTACTAAAACAGTTATACATAACTATTTATCGTACGCCTAACTAATATTTAAATCACCTTCATTCTTTTGGATAAACTTAGCAAGTATTCAAGTTATGTAGCATCAATACAATTTCTCACTTAATTTGGAACTACGAATTATCTACGAATAATGGATCCAGTATTAATATTCGGTACTATAATGTTTAATCAATAGTGTATTTCCATTTTGTTATTATTAATTATTCTGGAAATCACTGATCAAGTGGCTGTGTCACATGGTTGGATTTGAAACTAGTAACTAATTCTGAAATTCATTCAATGCTGTAGGAAATTGTTTTTTTTTTCAGCCTCTATGCCCTGCGTTGAGTGGTTGTGCAAAAATCACATACATGTATGGAATCATCAAAGCAGCTAATGCGGATGCGGTATCGCTGATGACATGGTTCATTTCAATCTCCACTAACGGTGGTGAGTGTCATTTTTTGATAGATGTTTTACCTTTTATAATTGATATACAAAAATGCCAAGATACAGAATCAAAGACCAAAAACGGCACTCATTAGAGAGCGCATACAATGTTTATGCAATTATTCTGAACGGCTAATTAGGAATTAATTTAGTTGTTGAATATGGACAAGACTAAAATCATATCTAATGTCTCCGTCACATCTATCCGGCTAATTAAAGTGACAGTGGGCTAGTCATGTAACTCGAAGACCTGACAACCGATGGGGGAGAAAGGTTCTTGAGTGACGACCTCTGTAAATGCAGTGTAAGACGACTAGATAAAGTGACGAAATACATTACAGGGAGTCAGTGGAGACAGGTGGCTCAGGATTGTCCTTTATGGCAGTCTATGGGGGAGGCTTATGTTCAGCAGTGGACGAATAATGGCTGAGATGATGATGATGTAGTCAATTGCGCAAAATGGTATTAGAAATTCTCTGTCAGGGTACATTAAGATGAATGTATACGTTTTATTCGTCCATTATATCGTTTAGGTAAAGTCGTACGATACCGTGTCATTCTTATTATTTTTTGCATACTTTTCGTGAACAGTATTTATATATTTTTATGTATTTGTGTAGGCGTTTATATGCATGTATGTATATGTGTATATGTGTGTGAGTATATATATATATAATAATGAGTAGGGACAATATTTATATTATTATATGTATCACATCTATATTTAGAACTAACAAAATTTTTCATCGTGCCTCCCACCAAATTGTTTATAATTACTCCTCTCCATCCAAAGGTTGCTTGGAAGGGATCGCTCTTAGCGATAAGGTTGCCCATTGTTTTCTCATTATGATTATTTCTTGTAATTATTATATATTTATAATAAGTTTACTATTGTAATCTTTTGAGGAAACAATAAAGAGTATCTATCTATCTATCTTATATAAATTATGAGAGCCATGTAATATATTTCCCTAGTTCGTTAGGGCTTTCGTTAACAACTATTTTTGTTTCAGCGCGTATCTTCACAGTGTATATGGATTCTGCGGACTGGAGGTTGATGGCAAACTTTATTATTTCGACATCACTCGGCTCGGGAGTTTTAGCGACTGCGATTTATTATAAAAGTCAAACGGCAGCGCTTAAATCAAAAGCCCAGACTCATAATCATCGGGATTAATACTTAATACAAGGGAAAATAGTTTAATATAATTGTCTTAGTATGTTCACGTTATGCATAAGAAGTTATGTTTTCAAGAAAGTGTTAAATATGAAAATGGATGAATGTAAAGGGACCACCCAAAAAGAGGTAGATGGACTGTGTGAAAAATGATATACATAAAAGAGGAATGAACTCAGTATGGTAGCTGATAGGGACACAGATAATATAATAGTATAGTAGTTACAGGGATCAGTGGAAGGGGAAGGCATGCACCGACAAATTTGAAAAAAGAATCTTAACGGAAAACAACAATAGTATATAAACATTTCTGGGTTTACTCAATTACCAAAAAGAATGGACTATTTTACACCACATATGTATATCCTAATTTTTGGTCCAACGTATAATCTAAACGGCTTTTAGTAAATGATGGATTGTGATGGATTTTAATAAAGGCGATGGAGGATGTACTGTAGATTATAAATATATTTCAGATTATTGAAAAAAAAAATAGTTGTTTCATTACTATATCTTTATACATAAAATTATCTACTCATATAAAATTAATAATATACATATATATATTTAAATGAATATGTTTTAGCTATTATATGGAGTACGTATTCTATTACTGAGCTAGGTGTTCTATTCCATACTATTGGAGACCCAACATTTTATCTTATTTTCGACCTTTATTCCTTTAAGCAAAATATTCAGCTTCACCAATACGTCATATTCTTTAAAGGAATCTGATAATTTCAATACTACTTAGGAATATTAGTTAAAATAATCAGATGTTAGGGATCATCTTTCTTAAGTTCCTGGAATTTCTGCAATATTTTTTGAACGGGTGATATATTCATACATCTCGAGGATTTTATAGTGAATAATTTAGAACGGGTCTTGCGGGATACTGCACTTGTGCCGCCATCTGCACGCTTACTGTTTCTAGAGTGTAAGCTTTCTTTCGATGAATACATCCTTTTAGCCAAGAGAAGCCGGGAACACAAAAGTCTGGGCGTCATGCCATCGAATGAAGACGATGACGTCACTCTAGTCCTCGGTGATGTGATATTTGAACCGTGGCGTGGTGAGCTTATATAGCATGGCTCGTACCTATATATCTCATGGGATGGCTCAGCCACACTTTTTACTTCTGGAAGGTCTGGTAAATCATCGGGCTCGCTTGTACTTAATACTTTATTTTTAGAATTATTTTTCTCGATTTGCATCAAGCCCCGTGGTTCTTGCGCGGTAAAACTCGAATGACTCGCCAAACGCTGTACTCTACGTCTCGCCCTAGCTTTGGCATCCTTAACGCCACTTTTAGAGCTACACAGATCTATGTTATCAACGAGATACTTGCAAACGGCATCGGCCTCTTCTTCTGGTGAAAAATGAGCATCTCTAAAAAAGCCATATCCATTGTGGAGATCATTAATACCCTCGATAATCAGCCAGGAAAGTGTGCCAATGACAAGAGCTAAAGTAGTAATAAATGCAATGATCGTGGTAGTGTCAGGGCCCATCAGTTTATACTGAATTTTCTCAAGTACACCATATGTGACAATATTTTGAGTTCTTTTGTTGAAGTATGCTCGACATGTGTAAAATCCTCTGAGATCATTATCCGCAGATGCTACTAATCTTAGTACTCTTCCATCATCAATCGATCGCACTTTGTTGTTTCTGAGAACGTCATGTAGTGCAGTATCTAAGAATAACCAGTTAGGCCGTGGATGTAGCGAGCTTGCAAATTGTGTATGAAGACATGACAGGTTTAATCGATTGGAGGTACTCCAAGCGGTTTCGTGATAGGAGCCAGATATACTGGCAGTCCTAGATGATACTTGTATCATTTCATCTTTATATCTTTCTACACTAAAACTATGAAGATCTTGTAGTACACAGTTGATTTTTAATGACGCTAATACACCATTATAAGATACAAAGTCCTCCGGTATATTTTTCCTTATTTCTTTGGGAACACCACCTACATAAAATTCAGCGTTGCATATGAAAAGTGACATGGGCTCATTGCTGTCACTTGTATCAATTCGTTTATTAGAATTTTCTTTCTTGAATAAAATTTGAAAATATTTACGATTTCCTCGTCTCTTGTGTAAGGTTATATTTATATGTGTCACATGGAGACGCTCATCCGCATTTATAACAGTCTCAATTGTACTTGCGTCTCTCTTTTTGGAAACAGATATATCTAGCCACTGGTCAGGTGGATATTCAGCTGAACTTCCACTTTCTGTTTGGTAGTCTCCTACCGATAACTTCATTTTTAACCTATTATTTTGTAATATAATATATAGCCAATTATTACTAGATTCATCATGTAAAAATAAAATTGTTCCAACATCTCTCTTAGATTTTATTGTAAGACCTAAATGCCATTCAGTTTGATCGAGGAAACATGGTAGCCGCACATATTGATCATTGTTTAGTATCAAATATGCTTCTTCTGCATTAGCTTTTTCATAAGCTATATTAGATGTGGAAATTGGATTAAAATCAGACTTCTTTACATTATGGCCTGGTACAATTAGCAGTTTTAATGGAATGAAGTTTAATATAACTTCCTGAATTTCTCCATGAAATTTTTCTCCCACTATAATATTCATTATGTCATAAGGTAACTCTGGATTGCAAGGAAATGTGCTTCTAATCACTATGGGTTCATCATCTAGTCTGAGAGTGGCAGCTTCACTTGTAACTGTGATGAGAGCTGTATGCCACACTGCTGGTTCTATAATTGCAGTTGAACAAATTCGGGGTAAACTACAGGATTTAGAAGCTCCATTAGCATCTAAGCAAATATGCCATTTCTGTAAGCTGAGGCGCACAAGAGGATTATGTATTGTACCTCGACGCACTAAAGTACCATGGGGTGACAGTGGCATGAATCGAATGTAAAAATGAAATAATGTTGATCGTTTGTTTTCAAAGTTGTAATGTAGAAACGATTCTCCATTTAAAATAGTTACAGTATGTGACCGCACTTCACAGGGAGCCAAGTGACACGATCCGACTTCTATTCTAGGACCAACGCAATTGGTTCCACCATTAGCTGGTATGGGTCGTGTACATGATCTGATTCTGGATCGTTTTCCCGCACCACAACTTTGAGAGCAAGGACTCCAAGAGCCCCAAACAGACCATCCTCCATCTAGTATGCAATGTTTGTTTTTACAAATCTCTAATTGATCGTGCTGACCTTGACAATGTGTGCCCCAAGTTTCTAAATCACGTGGCGTGTACTTTTCATTGCATGACCTTCTACGACGCCGTACCCCAATACCACATTTTTCTGAACACGCAGACCAATGTCCCCACTCCGTCCAAGTTCCAGCAATGTCATGAAATGTACCATCAATTGCACACTGATCGCCTTCGCAATTATCGACTTGTAGTGGGCTTCCTGTACAAACTAAATATTGTGCTGAAGGTGGCGGAGTGTCACATCGTCTGAGTCTCCAACGAAGGCCTTTGCCGCAACGAGAATCACAAGCTGACCATGTACCCCATGATCCCCATTCGCCTACCACTGGACAACCCATATTATGTTTGACGCATTGCAGTGCATTCCAAAGAGATTCAGGATTTAATTGCCATGTGTTATCAGTTGCCAATGCAGCTTCAATAGCTTCAAAAGGGCATTCCATTTGCAGACAACGTTCCATAAGAGCAGGTACAGTTTCAAGCTGATGTAACGCCTCCAATCTTGCAGAATCTCTTTCTGCGAGCTTACGGTAATCATCGGCAGTGCAATTTGTAAGGTAACAGCGTTTGATTTGTTCATCAGAGCCGCTACAAGGCAATCCATCTAGAGACGGGGAAGGGTTAATGCACTGTCTGATTCTTCGGTGATGACCGATATCATCGCAGGCTCCATGGCAAGGTGACCAAGGGCTCCAAGGAGTCCATCCTCCATCCACAGGACATTCTAGATCATTGATGACGCCCAGTTCACATTCCAGTCGCCATACGGCTTGCTGTCTTGTACTATAAGGCTTTTTAGACTGAACAGAGATTAAAGGAAGGAAAGTATAAAACATTATAATATATTTCATATTCATAATTATTGTAATAAATTGAAATATCATATGCAAAATTCTAAGGCAGAGAGGATGGATGACATATGACGTTTGACGTGTTCGTATTTTTTAAGCTTAAGACTTCTGATCAATAAGTATAATATATATATAGATACATATATATGATATTTCAATTTATTACAATAATTATGAATATGAAATATATTATATTAATGTCATATATATATATATATATATATATATATATATATATATATATATATATATATATATATATATATATATATATATATATATATATCAATATCTCAATTGTTAGAGCTGTATTTATGAAAATTGAAGGTTTCGTTAATGTAAGGGATTTTGGTAGAGGACCCAGATTTTTCCAAAAGATTATTTCTAGCGACGAGTCGCTTTTTCGAATGAATAGCTATATTTACAAGCAAAATTGCCTTATATTGGACGATGCTAATACGTAAGAGGTGGGCGAGAAGGGTTTATTTGTAATGGAGACTAGCATCCCTAATTCTAGCAATAAACCCTATCAGGTCGATCTCCTCGCGCTTTCCCCTGGAAACCATTATGATTATTGACGAATTTGTCACTATGCGCTAACTGACCTGTCTTATCATTTTCACCTATTATCACTCACTGGTGCCCCGCTGATATACGCTATACCGTTAGCGTAGGTGGAGTTACCATTCCATTATAATGCTGCTATCTACCATTCCCCCATTGCATTATATTGCTAGCAATGGGGCAGTTAGACCCCATTACTAAAAGTATCTATCCTTCCAATTAATAACTATTAGGTATAAGCTGGCCCAATGATTCGTAGAGTATATAAGGAAAATAAATAATAAAAAGAATCATTATTACTTAGATAAAGGAAACTACATCCATTATAGAAATAAAATATTTAATAAAATTTTGCATTTACAAAATAGTACTGCAAGAGTTTCATATACGTGTTATCACATAAATAACGAGTCAATCCTTCTAACCTATTTTACAGGGAAAATAATCTCTTTCCCTAATTATAATTGTAAAAATTGTGTAAAAATTTTTTGTCACACAAAAATAACTAAACGCGAATATTTAATCTCATTTAAAACTAATAAGTGATGTTACCATTATTAATACTTAATCACATATTAACAGTCCAAACTTAGAAACATGTTATTATACATTCATATTTTTTATTCACATATAAAACAAGAATAAATATATCAAATAATATACCTATGTTTGTTTATTAATACTCAAATTCTTTGCGAAGTAAGTGAAGACTAGGTAGGTTGAAGCTAACACTACAGGTGGTTTAGTTAGATAAAATACTATTGTAAAGTACTATAATATCACCATTCTCTGCCAACTTCGCAAGGAACCTGGCGTGAAGATATAGATGGTACCACCGCTCTGTATCAGTGAGAGATATTCTATAGGAATTATTCTCTGGTTTCAATACCAACTGGGTTATAATGTTTTGCAAATGTTATCCACTGGGAAAACTATGCAAAATAAATAATGAAATAGTACATATAAGTGGCATTATATACTTGTACAATTGTCATTTGCTTTTATATAATTTGGCAAACTTACATCGTTTATGCAGCTTCTAGATAATGGCTGTATATTATTTTTTATAGATAGTGACATAGTATTTAAGTATTTTTTGCTAATTATGGATCACATATCGTTAGGCACCTATTACATTATATAATTAGTCATGGTAGACTGAGAGCCATCAGTCATAGAGTATTGCTAGACAATATAAAATTTTACAATATCATGTTACATATTTAATATATGCTAAACAGATATTCATTTACAACAATAAATATAATTTTTGTTTCAAATAAAATAGTTTTATACAAGATAAAATCATATCTTCTGTCTTTAATTCAATGATCACATCAGATCATATTTTACAACATCATCCATGACTGATAGCTATATTTAATCGTTACTTGATTGTCGTGAGAAAAATTAATTTGTCAAATAGTAAATACAAGATACAATATCGTCAATAATCCAATATCATTTTTCTTTTGCGAATAATGTATTGCAACTTATAGAAAATAGTGGTAAAAAATCTACTTTTTTGGACTGTGTAATAGTCTAGACTAGGAAATATCACACAAAGCCATCTAGTCACAAAGTAAGTTGATCTTTTACCATGTGTTTGTACACATCATGTCATCGTGGAATGACTTACATTATTAAATTTTTTTAGAATATATATAAAAACAAATTGAAATAGATATGACATGCTAAAAATATCAAAGAATAATAATTTATAGAAATTATAAACTTTAGCATATTAGAAAAGTTTTTTGTAAAAAGCTGCTACTGTGCAATACTCAATATAAGTTGTTTGCAATGAAATGTACAACAGAAAATTTGGCGTTATTTTTTATATCTAATAGATAAGAACCCAGTTTTGAGGATGGTTATACGCAAGGAATATTGGACTGTGTAAAAGTAGCGAATAAGATTCTTTATCGACATTTTGTGAGATCAATAGCCACTTTTTTAGCCATTCTCTCATGTCCCTATTTGTTAAATGTCTACCATTTAGACCTCGTATGTGACAAGCATACCGTAGGGTCTCCATGTTTAATTTGTCGACGCCGCCTTCTCGAACAATAGCTTTGTCCATTTCTAAGAGTAAAAAAGCTCGATACTTTAATTTATTCCTCATAAAGAAACTCCTTTTTTGGCCATGCACTTTTAATAAGTGTCCCTGAAATAGATAAGATAAAAATTGTCAGTGTTTATCTTACTGTCAAAAAATGAAGGGTAATGTTCATGAAAAATATCAATGAAAAATTATAATATAATATAATCAAATCATGTTATCAATCAATCAATCATTGACTGTATAAATGTAATAAGCCAATGTGTATAAATATGCATTTGTATTCATACATTAAGGTATTTTTTTTAAATGGATGATAATAAAATTTGTGTCTTACAAAAAACTGGTTTATGTGGATGGGGTACCAGTGGGAAATGTGAAGAGTAAATTAATTGAAAAATTTAATTGATTTTGTAGACCTTCTAGCTCTAGAAGCAACAGCTGGTTGCATCTTGAGGTAGATTGAATAGAACAACTTTTCATTATGCAGGGTTTTCTAAATGGCATATAAAAAATATACTTACAGCATGTGCAAAGGATAAACTATCCAGTTGATAGGGTTCCTTTATAAATAGCTCTTTACATTCTAGTACCTCTTGAGGTGTAGGATGTACTCCAGAACCGAGTAGTGCTAAAATACGCCTCCATTTTTTTTGCATTTCACTATTTGGAATAGAGTCTAATTTTGCTTGAAGTGCTCGGAAGACTGGCTTATTATTTTTAAGTCGTTCAGTGAGATCTTGCATAGAGAATTCTAGCCTTTGCTGTATTGACCAGAAGTGAGAGCACAGAAGTGTCTTTGGTTTCAAGAAACTGGAAAAAATAATGACAATAGTACATTTAAGTAAGTTTGTATGACGGAACAATATAAAATACAATGTATGTAATAGGTCCCTTACTTATAAATGCTGAATAAGTACAACATGTAGTGTTCTCACAGGATGATGTGGTTATGTGTTGTGCTAATAAAAAAAAAAGTAGTAGTAAGATACTTCATGTAATACTTACGCTAATGGAAATATAATATAATTTCCAAATGGAATAGCGGATAATATGAGCACGGGTGCTATTCTCCACATGTCAGATGGCATTTTTTGGTACAATTCTATTTCTTGTCGACTCATATTTGAAAATCCTTGATCTTTATTAATTTTTATGCGTAATGATATATATGTCTTTAAGTCCTTGAGAAAGTCTTTGATTCCCACACTGAAGACTCTATACATTCTCACCGCTGTTGGGAATCTATTCTCTAAAACCTTTGTATAGTTATTTACATAGTTAATATATCTTTGGACGACATATGTACGGAACTTTTCCTTCTCAGTTTTCAGTGTCTTTGTGTGCTTTAATCGATCTGATACTGTAAACCTGTATTGTTTGAAGTATGACACATTAATTAACGATATAAGAGCAATAACGCAACACCGAATTTATTTTTATTCAGTTTTAATAGTTAAGTATGGTTTTCTTCTTGGAATAGGTATGATGATAAAGTATAAATCTCTTGTTTTTTATAAACGGTTTCTATCGTAGTGACAACAGAGATTTAACTACTATATATATCTCATAATTATGATGATTAAAATTTTGGTCCTTACTTTAAATTACTACCCACTACATGTAGTAAAAAAAAAAGATTTCATACTGTACTTCTGATTTTTCAAGAGTAGGCATGTACACCCAATTATTTGGCTACAGAACTACTTGTTTACTTCCTATATTTGCGTAGGTATAATAATGAAATAATAGTCAACATACCTGAATTTGTTGATTTCTAAATTTCTTTTTAAAATTGAATTTGAACGGCAGCACTGGAGAGCTAAGCTAGACACGGGGATTATTCTATGAATAGACATTTTGTTAATGATAAATTTTTGTAGTATTTGTACAATAACGTTTTCTTTGAATATTTTCTTTTGTACAGGATTTAAAAATTCAAAGTCGAATTGAGAATCTCTTCACAGAAAAGGTAATGTCAATAATACAAAATTAACTGTCAATGTCACTCATTTGACAATTTCATTTGACTGCTTTCAATGTTACCATTATTTTCCATTATGATTCTTTCTACACGTACGCAGTTTAAATTATATAGCTAGATAGAGCATTGAGTTTTGAAAAAGGGGTTAGAAAATAGTCAGTTTCTTTGACGTCTGGCTGACTATATTTTTTTAAATCAAAATAAAACGCGTTTATATTCAGTGTTTCAATAATTAAAAAATATATTGATGAGGTTGATTTTTTAAATTTGAATTGTGAATTATTTTTTCTAAAATAATAAAAACTAATTGTTTCCTACAGCGCTGCCCACGTGAATTGGTATATAAAATATCCTATTTGTTAAAACACGATATATAACCTATCTTCATAAATTTTCAGCCAATTCAACTGATCGATTATTTTATAGCTTTTATTATGAGATTCTTTAGATTGATATTACTTTTTTATTTATGAACCGATTGAAATAAAACAAACACTAAATGTTAAATGGAGTAAACCACAACACATTAGTGAAAACCGCATTCAAATCGGTTAAGCCATTTTTACGATTATCCTGCACAAACGTACAGACAAACAAACAAAAATTCTAAAAATAATTGTTTTGGCTTCTATGTCGTTTACAAAGCCTCTTCCCCTCTATGTAATTTTTCTTATAAATCTTCCATGTACAGACAGCCACCAACTATAATTTTAATGTGTATTATCAAGATTATTGATTGTATTTATGACATTAATTAAAAAATGTTATTGAATTTATATATTTGTTAACAGCTATGAATGTATTATTAATTTGATTTTGTATCAGTAATTAAAGGCTATTAAATACAAATAGCTTTTACCCGTAATTTAATCCACATGAGACATGTTAATTCCTGATGAATTCATCATGATGGGCTAGCTGGCCTGTTTTCATTCTCATCGATCACCCTTTACTGGTGTCCCGCCAGCGTACACTGTTAGCGCAGGCGGGACTGCCATTCCATTTTCATCCATCACCCTTCAAATTGAAACGCAGCCATGCAAACACAACTGCTTCACAGTAGAAATACGAATGGGGCAGAGGTGCTCAAGCAAACAACTTTTGTACAAAGTCTCCCTCTGGTAATCCCAAGCCCACCTTGATTCCAAATAGTACGTATGCGCCAAACTTTATAATTTGGTTAGATATTAGGTTAAAGCGCCCTAAAAATAACAATGAAACAAATAATTGCTCTTTTATATTTATTTATTTACTATATATATTTATAATTTAAGTTAGGCTTATATTTACAAAGAAACTAACAGCCCACCTGTTGCAAAGTGGTAACCTTCGTCTATAGACATCAGCAACACGGAATTCACAGAATAGATAGTGACACCCACGGTATATCTAATTCGTCGTTGTTTTTGAGGACGAACTTTACTTACTACATACTTTCCTACTCTGTACTTTCATTATCAGTCATATCTCATCTTTCAAACCGAAACGGCTACTAACTCAGTATCCGATATAGTTTTAAGATTTGCTTTGTTGACATCTGCGCTTTGTTATTGACAATGTTGCTGTAGTTTTCAATGGTATTGTTCAATTTTATGTGTTACCTTCACTTGCATTAAACATTTGTGCAAACTTTAGTGGCTGTTAAATTATTATTTAACTGTATAATTATATATTGTTATAGCTGTCTGTTCGCCTTGAATAAATAAATTTGGAAGCGATATATTTCATTAGTGTTCCTATTTCTAAAATTTATGCGTATGAAGTAGTTAACAAGTGCTTTTTTTTTAAGTTTAAAACTATATTTTCTGTCGCTATGTTTAAATGCAACAACCTACAAATCATTCTGTTGATAGCTATATTCTGTATGTACTCAGTCTTTCCCCCTATAGAGGCTTTGCGACCTACCAGGGGGTCGCGAAAACTACCTCAGTAAAAAAACAAAGTTATAAAGATAGATTAATTAAGAATAATGGTAATTAAAACATTTGTATGTTTTGTTGGTTTGTATGTACAAATTAACAAAAAAAAAGTCGGGAGTAGCGAAATATTTTTTCATACTAGAGGGGTCATGTCATGAAAAAGATTGAAAAATACTGGTATAAAGTAATACTCGTAATTACCAACGTAATCTTCATACATACTTTAATAATTTTACTTGAGGTTTTTTTTTCTAAATAAACAATCCAAATAGGATAATATATTTTTAAAGTCAGCGGTAGAATCATAGAAATGGGCCATACAAATTCTTTCAATTCTGCTTATTATATTTATGTAGATGGGTTGTTAGGATCAATCAGCACCGAGTAGCGTACGAGTAGATAGGTAAAATGAGGATCATAGATAAAAGATTGTGTTTTTTTTTTGTATACTGTATAAAGTAATAATATTTTTTTTTTATTAATGTTTTATATATTTAATAATTTGTTATACCCTACGATGCAGAAACATAGCGCATTACACTTCTACAACATTTAGCTTATGTTTATGTAAATAAATGATTGATTAATTAATTCATTTTATCTATGATATATACCGAAATATTTGAGTTAAATTGACCCTATTTATGATATTTAGGACTACTTAGGCTTAACCTATCCTTGACCAATAATATCAACGTATTTATTTAAAAATAGGTCAGATTTTATTAAATCGGTCAAAAGAGACAAAAATGTTCAAGCGAATAACGCCACACATCAGGATGTGTGTTTTATTTATATTTAAAACTTCAACTTAAAATTTGAATTTTAGATTTCAGTTTGACCTACATCGAAATTGTAAAACTTTTAGATCCCTTTCCACTTAATATTCAGTTCTTATGATGCGTAGTTATTATGCAGCATCGAAACCTAATGTTTAGTGTACGTTGTGAATTATTATTTAGTTGAATTTAGTGGCCACATGTTTAATAAATGCATATTTATTTTATTTTTTATTTATTTATTACATAATTCATTATCGAATCAGCCGTCTACTGTCCACTGCTGTAGACAGTTCTTTCCCTATTGGGGGTTTTCTCAAAAGCTGCTACGTTTAGCAGGCGGGTTAGAAACCGCAGTTAGGCTTTGGTGAAGTTTAAAGAGAGGCGCCTTTGTCCATTCCTGAACTACAAATTTTCCTTAGTTGCCTTTTACGGCACTCACGGGAAAGGATGTTTATATATAATATACATAGAACGTAAACTACAATTGCTTAGTTTTAGCGTGTACCCCAGAAAATTAAAAAAGGGCCTAGTGATGTATAAATTTTGATTAAACCTCCGGAGGTGGAAAATGTCGAAAACGGGTCTAAATTACTTCGAGGAACGGCGGAGGCTTGCACCCGTCACATTGGATTCTAATATACTTGCGAGGTTAGAGGGAGAGAAAAGGGATTGCTGGTAAGTAGTGTCCTATCAGGTCGATCTTCACGCGGTTGCTCCTGGAAACCATCAGAATCATTTATTGACGAATTTGTCACGATGGGTCAACTGGTGCCTTGCCAACGAATACTAATAGCAGAGGTGGGGTTAATATTGTTTAGAATTTCCTTGGTTCGATGGCAGGCAATATGTACCCCAGCAGCACCTGTCAATGTATTGTATAATAAAAAAAATAATAGAATAAAAAATTACTGATTACCATTTTGTCTTAGATACTATGAATATTGACTGAACTTGCCAACTGACTAATATTAACTAGTGTAGGTCAACCCAAATTCTGCTCCTAGTTTTCCTTAACACTGGTACTGCTTCCGGTGTTGCTTAATACTGGTGAGTGCTACTATTGATTTCCTATATTAAATATTCCATAAATTTTCCATTTTGAAAAATATGTGGAAATGTGCAACAGTCGATACAAATGACTCTGTTATGCCCCATTAATAAAATTTAAAAAAATTTGAAAAATTCTTCTTTTATTTGAAAGGGCTTACTATCAGATTCCGTAGTATTTTAATCATAATTGGTTCAATAGTTTGCTTTTTAAATCAAAATAAATGGTTTTGCCGCGATTGAACTGAGTGCTTTTTTTTTTGTAAAATAAATTCTCTTGTCTATGCCTAAAATCTATTGACCTCATTGAAAGTATTCGAATATTGAATCCGTCAGTGTCAAGTAAGAAAAAGCAACAATATGTATTAGACTAAATAAAAATGTGATTAAAATAAGAAAAAACAAGACACTAATGTTCTAAGTATTTAAATAAACCTACGCAATGGATTGCAATCCTCGGTAATAGAAAATTATATTAAATTATTATTAGAAGTATTATTAAATCGAATCTGAATTAATATTATAAAGCCGGGGGGGGGGGGGGGAGCAGGGATTTTTATTAATAATATCTAACAGATCCATCACTAGCAATATACCCTAACAGGCCGACCTTCACTCGGTTCACCCTAGAAACCATTATGCTTAATTTTTGATGAATTCATTCCGATGGGCCAACTGACCTGCTTCATTTTCACCTATCATCCCTCACTGGTGCCCTGCCCGTGTATACCGATAGCGCAGGCGGTGTCACCATTCCATTTTCATTTATTAAAAAAATTATAAAAACGAAAGATTTGATTTCTTTTGTTTTGTGATGAAAAAAGTTAAAAAAATATTAAAACTCGTTGCAAATATTTTTTCACATACATCATTATCGAGTACATAAGTCATATTTTATTTCCTAAAAAAGAAACCGTGTAATGGTGGGACAGGCCAAAAATCATGTTCTAAAATTGAAAATATTTATTACAGAACCTTTCGATGTGAAGAATGTACGAGAATTAATAATGATATCTTTAAAAAGGTGGCGGAACTCAAAAGATCTGGGCTTATTATTTATTTGCACAAGGAAGAAAGAGAAATGGTATTAATTATATATAATTTATAACATATAAGTATAAAAAATTTAGAAAATCACAAATTTAGAAAATACATATATTTATGAGAAAAAATTTGAAAAAAGTTTTATGTGGCGCAACAGTGAAAAGGTGACCGACTCAGTATTAAGCTGTGGAGTACCCGTACTGCTGTTATTTTGCTGGTACCTTATAAAAAGGTGGTACTTAACTTCGAACTCTTACCAATTTTCCTAATCTATAGTTATGGGGTGTAAAAGCCTCAAAACTAATAATCTATATATATATATATATATATATATATATATATATATATATATATATATATATATATATATATATATATATATATATATATATATATATATATACTAGCTGACCCCGTAAACGTTGTTTCACAATTTATTGCGAAATATAAAAATCGCAATTAAAATACAGGGATTGATCGTAAAACGATGAAAATTTAAAGTTGTATGTATTTTTCAATGCTAAATCATAATAAAATAAAAATGGAAAAAATTGTCAAAAAAATAAGAAAAAAAATATTTTGCGGAGGGTCACCCTTATACCACCACCACCACCACCCTTATACCATCACCCAATATGCACACAAAATTTCATAAAAATCGGTAAAGCCGTTTCGGAGGAGTTTGGTAACAAACACCGTGACACGAGAATTTTATATATAAGATATATATATATATAAATACACATTATTGTTGCCTCCAAAAGATTACACTTATCATAAAAACAAAAAAGTTCGTGAGGGTTTAATTACATTATATTTGTGTTTTCAGTCAACAAGCAGGACGTCTAATTGCAAGAAATATGATACGTTCATATTACACAACACCAGTGATAGCGATTTGACGAGGCCTAGTTATATCGGTGAACTTTGTGAGTTTAAGGGTTAATGTTCAATTAAGGAGAAATAACAAACTGGTTTTTAAGATTAGCTTTAATATTTATTATGCACCATGATTAAAAACTGTGTATGTTTGTCGACAAACTATCAGATTTAAACGAACCCAAAATAAAATAGGCATTAAAGTTATATTATTGTATAATGTACCCATAACCAGTAAATGCTAGTGCTCGTTTTTTTTTTCAATGGATGGTAATGGAATAACAATCCCGCCTGCGTTAACGGTATATGCTGGCGGAGTACCATTGAAAGATGATAGGTGAGGATGAAAAGGCGGGTCAGTTAACCCATCGTGATGGATTCATATATATGGAATTAGTAAGATGGTTTCCAAGAGAATCCCAAGGAGATTGACCTGACGGGATATATTGCTAACAATTAAGCTTTTTTTTTTAATAAATGATAACGGAATGGTAATCCCGCCCGCTGCTATCGGTATATGCTGGCAGGGCATTAGTATCCCATAGTGACGAATTCTATCATAATTAATCATGATTTGCATGATTTCCAAGGGGAACCGCGTGGAGATCGACCTGATAGGGTGTATTGCTAGCAATGGGTCAGTTAGATCCAATTACTAACAATCCCTTTCCATCCCAAGCATGAGGCTTAGACATGCCCTGTTAGGTCAATATCCACTTGGTTTCCGTAGAAACCATCGTGCTAAATTTCAGGTCACTTTGTCACAATGTCCTAACTTATCTGCCTTTTCATTCTCACCTATTATCCCTATATTCCTTACTGCGGCCCCGCCCGTGTATACCGTTAGCGCAGGCGGGGTTACCATTCCATTGTCATCCATTAAAAATATATTTATCCTAAATTAAAGGTCAATCTTAGATATTGAATAAGATGTTTAATATTAGTCGGGATACTAGCTTTTACACTGCGACTTCGTCCATGTGACCGCGTCATGTTTACTGATAGATATAAGTAGTAGGCTATATCCTTTTTCATGTATGTGTATACCAAATTTCATAGTAATTGGTTAAGCCATTAAGACTCTATAAGGTAACAAACAAACAACCAAACATATTCACTTTAACATTTATCATATTGGTAAGTATAAGTAAAGAATATATATAATTTATAGGTAAATATAAAACGAAATGTTTCCATTGCAAGTCTTTAATACAAAGAGTTCATGGATTATTAGATAAAATAAAAGCTATAAGAAAAAATGAGGCAATAGGTGTTTGTGATTACTGTAAACAGTCAAATACATTGTCCAAATGCAAAAGATGTGAGTATGTAGTCAATAAGTTTCTTAATAATAAAGTTAAACAATATGAAGAAAAACAAGAAAGACTCAAGACATGGTTTTACAATGTGAAATTGTTTTTGCAATCGATTCTAGAAGGTAAAATAATCTGTAGACATACAATATATCAAGGTTCGGGAGAGGAATTAAAAAAACTTTTGCAAGAGCTAAAATTACTAATGTCTATGCGTGAACTAAACATAGGTGTTTTTCCGATGACGGACAATTTTATAACTGATCAAAGTTTATCAGAAAATAAAGATTTGATTAAAGATTTATTGATCAAGCTGAATTCTGAGGATATAGTAAAGCGTTATGATTCAAATGATCATCTTTATACATCTTTATCAAATATTGAAAGTAACTGTGCTTGCAAATATCTCCAACGAGAAATTTTGAAGGAAGAAGTTTCAGTAACTTATTTAAAAAATATAGATCACGACAAAAAATATTCTTCGCTGGAATCTGTTTTTACAAAAAAGAAGTCACAAGAAGAGGGAAACATAGATGTTAAAACCGAGAAAAAGATAATTACTAAACAATCCGTGACTAGTAAGGAGAATGATATAAATTATACCAAGAAAAAAGTTGTTAAGAAATTGCCAGACTATGATCACTTAAAAATAAAAAAAGCGAATGAAAAGATGCTAAAGGAAAAATCAAATGAAGGTGAAATAGAAAAAAAGATTAATGAAAAATTATCAGTTAAGGAAAAAATAGATTATAATAAGGTACAGAAAAAAAGTAATGCGAAATTGATAATGAAACGAAAATCAGATGTCGGCAAGGTAGAGAAAAAAGGTAACAAAAAGTTGTCAATAAAAGAAAAATCTAAACTTTCTATAGATCTTATACAAAAAATCATAAGAGAAAGGCAGCAAATGGAAAAGATGAAAGAAAAAGATAAAATAATAGAAGAAAAAGGAAAGCCTACAGAGGCAGTAAAATCGCCAGTAAATGAAGAGTTCTTGAACTTTAAACATAATAGAGAAGAAATTGGAGATACATCTGAAAGTGTAATAGAATGTCGAGATGGAGATCCTGATTTACAACTAAAAGAAATGATCAAGGGTACGGAAATTGTCCCTCTTGATCACATTTATAAAAAATGTATTCGAAGCAAAAAGCCACTTTTATATAAACTGGGAACAACGTTACTTACTTCTGATATCGAACGTGTCATGTCTAGTTCTACTATCGAAGATACTATAAAAATACCAAAAATTAAATCTGGCGATGTAAGTTCCAATTGGCATACTTTGATCTGATATTGAAAATTATTACGTGTTAATGTTGTTAATTAAACATATTTCATTTTAGGATAATAGATTGGGTAAAGGCGTTATAAGATATATGTTATCCAACCGCGAGTTCATTGATAAAGGTTGGACTAAATTACCAACTACGAAAATTATGAGAAGGGTATTTAGTATTTTTATTACATAGCTGTCAGATCTAAAAATTAATTTGATACAACATTATTATTAATTTTAAAAGTTAAATGACAGATAAGCATTCTATTAGATGAACTAAGTAGTTCTGAGGGCTAATCGTTATTTTTATGTCAAATTTAACTTCAGATGAATATTTACAAAATGATACCTGCCAATCCCAAATATGATTGGTTTGAGCGACATAAGAATATGAAAATTATGTACTATGACACTGGTGAGAAATTGGCTGAAATCAATAGCGATGGATGCGGTAAATTATTTTATAAAAATGGCAAAGTAGCGTTGGATTATTATAATAGTGAAGGTAATTTTTCAAAAGATTAAATTAGGTAAATATCGTAAAGTATTGACTTTTACAGAAGTATTTTTTATTACAGAACAAAACGCTGGTAATAGATATGTAATTTTTAGTTCAGGGGAAAAAGATGGGAATGGCATTTTTAGGCCTACAACTGTACTTGGTATCTTTGACTATATAGGTAATGGAGTTGTTTATGATGTTACAGGTAACGAAAGGTAAGTTTTTAATTATTAATGCAAAAAATAAGAAACTTAGACGACATGGATAGGTAAACAAACAGATGATTTACCCGTTAGACAGTAACAACTGTCATTAGGTTACTGTAATGCTATTGATTTGGCAACACATGGACTTATAAAATATACCTATTCAGCGGTATTTATCATCAGGGTCATGGGTTGCCATTATTTTGCTTTTACTAAATTATTAACTGCGGGGTATAACAGAGAAATTGGGTAACAGATATAATTTTGCTGCCTCGTTACTCTCTTTAGAAAAATAAAACTCTTTCTAGAGATGTAAATAGATGACTGATGCAAATTATAATGAATTGTATGTTGTAATGAATGTTAAAAATAAACTATATTTTTAAAATTGTGTTACATATTACAAAATGAAAAAAATTGTAGATTGAAATATAATCAATCTGAAGGTATAATCATAGACCGGACAATTGGCCCTTCAAGTCACTGGAAATGGCACGATTTAAATGAACCACCAGTCTTACAGTCAGTAGTTTTGGATGACTACGTAAAAAGTCAGGAATCTTACTTCGAAGAGCTTACAACGAACCAAAAAGGTAATAAATACGAAACGAGCAGCAAGCATTCTAAAGATTCAAATATAGAAATGGTTAATATTGAACTAGAAAATTTTGTAAAGGAGAAAGCTTACAAATTATTACAGAAATTCCAGCCATTTCAGATAAAGATGAAAGCTTTGAAGTTGAATAGGCAATTTTCCTTAAGAATACTTGATCAAGCAAATATTTACCTGTTATTTAGAGAAGGAAAAATTTCTTTGAAACTTAATATAGGGCTTCGCCTAATAAGTAATGAAATCGTAGATACTGAGACCGCTGAGGTGTCTCAAGTGGCGACCCGATACGATTGTCTCCCTCCAAAAAGCCACAGTGTGGCTGAGATTCAGAAATATATAAGAAGAGCTAGAATGATTAGTAAAGTTAAAATCGGACCTGATCTTCTACTATCCAAAACTTTAAATTAATTTCAATTAATTCTTTTATTTGGCCAATGATTATTTTTATTTATTTTTTTATCTAAATAATTATTTTAAGTACCACTAAAGAGTTATGTTATCATATTCATATTTTTCTTTTGTTTCTTAGTTTCAAGTAGCTTATTTCAGTTAATATATATACTATAGGAAATAAATGCAAATTTTTAACATTTATCTATTTTATTTAAACTCGTCAGAAATTTATCATTTAAAACACTTTTACTAACTCATCATAAAATAAATATATACTCGAGTTTTAAAGCGAAGAGGATACGCCTGTATCCTGTGTTACTTGAACACTCATCCATGTGACATAGAACATTGCCACAAATGCAAAACTGTATATAAAATAAATGACCAGGCTAACCCGTTGCATAATATATTTTATTTCATGTCACATGAAGATGGGGACTATTAAGTAAAGTCAATTTATCACAAGCTTCGGCCGCCATTTGTCGTCAAATAGATCGATACGATCCTGTAAATGGTAATGATTAATATGCACTGTTTTTTTGTATGTTAGGTAAGTAATATTTTATATGAAGAACAAGTGGAGAAGCTTTTAAGTTATACCTTGCATTATTGTACTATGTTTGATCGGAATATTTATGATTTACCCAAAGCTTTAAAAATATTGATAGTAAAAGAAATACTCTTTTCTAACAGGGAATAGCGACAAGCTGACAATCCACTTGATGCAAAGCGGTAAATGTCGCATATAGATATGAACAGCACCATAGATATTACAGATTATATTGTGATGTATGTAATACCATTTAAGCCTTGCCATTTCTTAATATTAAAAAAATTATGCCACTACATATACATATGTAACATGTAATTACACTGTTATATCCCACGCTTAATGCTCAAACAAAGCCATGCAAGCACGGATAGAGGCACGGACGAGGAAAGACGTATTCAAACAGAGGACTTTTGTACAAAGTCTCCCTCTGGTAAAGTTTCCTAGTGTTTTCTTTGTATATAAAGAAAGTTTCTTTAACAGTGTTGCAACCCAATTCTTTCTATTATTACATTATCCTTATCTGAAACGACACATGCCGGAATTCAGCGATAATAGGTATTTGTGAAACTTTCCCCAGGGGATATACATGCCTGTAAAAGTGATTGACAACTTGTATCTATCAGCGAAAATCCTATGGGACTTTATTCTGAATACGGCACTAGATCAGCTGTTATAGGTACATATATTACTGTTACAAACTCCTTTGTAATTTGTATTTCCAATATTGTATTCTTTTAATTATTCATTTTTTTTTTTTATATAAAACTGTCAGTACAACTTTTCAACACGAACCGGCGTTTTCTTCATTACAATCAGTTCACAATAATTACATTATTTCAAGTACAACAAATGAACCAGAATAGAAAAACAATCATTACTGATCTAATAAACGTGAAAGTCTGTTTGTTTGTTGTCTTCTGGTATTTCTATAGCTCGCGCAAACATTATAATATATATACAAAACCCTGGACATAATAATATCATAACAACTCATTAACATCAAATTGATCCCTTAAAAAGAGGATAAAAATTTAATTGGCCTGACCAAAAAACGAAATTAGAACCTCAAAGTAATCATTCAAATCACTGTAGCGCTTTTAATAATTTGTATGATATTAAATATCTCTCATTACCGTAAAATGTAAATAAAGGATGTGATTAGTGATTGAATATCGAGTTCAACGGTGAAGTGATAATTCCACAGTACATTAGTTATGACATCGATTTGTCTGTACGTACCGTGACCTCAATTAATAATTCAACAATACGCGTCCGTGATTATAAATACGTCAAGTTATTTATATTATCTGTTTATGTACAGTAAATGTATTACTTCCTTTTTCTTATGTTGCTTATTAATGTATAAGTTTTTACGCGCGACCTCGTCTGTGTGACCGGGATATGTTGATTTATTTGGAATGAATAGTAATAAATAGGCTTGGAGTAATCCATATTAATAAATAAAATATCATATGCTATGCGAAATCAGTGAAGAGGAAGGAAGGAAGAGGAGTGGGGCTGTTAGACCCCACTACTAACAAAGTAATCTAACAGCTCCACTGCTAGTAATATACCTTATCAGGTCGACTTCCATGCCGTTGCCCCTAGAAACCATCGTGATTAATTCTTGTTGAATTCGTCACGGTGGGCTAACTGATCTGCTTTCACCCTCACCTATTATCTCTTACTGATGCAACGCCAGCCTATACCAATAGCGTAAGCGGGGTATCTATTCTTAGTTTAAGTTTTTAGAGAGCAAGAGCATCCTTTCTCAATGTCATATTTGTTCATTTATTAGCGATGGTTTTTAGCCGGATATTCGAAAAAAATAAAATAAAATGTATCTATCTATATAAATTTAATTTAGATTATTTAGAAACAACAAATATCTATGGGTAGGTATAAATATGTATCTTTACCCGGCCCTCTGGACAAGTGGCCTGCGAATTCATCTATAGGATCATCATCCGAAGCTAATCCAGGAGTTGGAATGAGACAACGGATGTTGCTATCTCGATCTGTCTCATGAACTCGCCAGCGATAACAATTTTATCGATGGATTCGTTTGCCACTTGCTTTGAGGCTCAAGGTACTCCATTCCTACTTGTACCGTATGGGTGTAGTTTTATCTTTTTCTCCTCGCTACCCGTTAGGAATTGTCGCGACGACACAGAATACTTTATTGTGCACAGTTGTTTCGTCAAACAAATGTGCTCGAAAATTGATTACCGTAGTAGATTTTCGTAGTATATGTATATAAGTATAAAATATAAAAGATTTCATTGCCAGTTGGTAGTCTTTTTACCCCGGTCAATCGATATATATGACATATAAAGGCTAGTATGAATAATAAATATAATTGTAATTTTTTTTTTAATGCATGATTAATGGAATGGTAACCCCGCCTGCGCTAACGGTATACGCTGGCGGGGCACCAGTGAGGGATGATAGGTGAATAATGAAAAAAGCAGGTCAGTCAGCCCATCGTGATGAATACACCTAGAATTCAGCACGATGGTTTCCAGGGGGAACCGCGTGGAGGTCGACCTGATAGGGTATATTGCTAGCAATGGGATTCTCAGTCTCCATTACTAACAATCCCTTTCCCCCTATAATTGTAATTCTAAATACGGTTGTCAGAGACATCTGTTAATTATTCCGTTAATATAAGCGAACAACCAATATCCACGTTTAAAAGTAATGTACTAAAGTGTGTGCACTTTCTATTTGACACTACACTACACTAGCTGCATTCTAGGAATTTACCCTCCTCGATTAGGTTAAAATGAACTTGTGTTTATGTTCAGATCTCTAAACAATAATTTTTTTTAATATAATAATATTAATATATTATATTTATATAACATTTACGTATAATTGTTGTGTAGTATGATACTATATAATTTTATTAAACATAAAATATACTTAAATTTTTCAATATGAAGTTATTTCATACGACAAGGTTTACTACAAGAATTACTTATTAGAAATAAGCTCGCCTTTGTATGTCACTTCTAAAATTAAATGTTTAATAAAAAATACAGAATATAATCTAAGATAAAGTAGCTACAATTATAGGTTTACAAGTAACTCACAAACATATAATGTACTACCTATTAAACGTTGAAATATGCTAAATATGTCGTCGGTGCACTAAATTTATACTTCTATTTTTTGCGCTCTATGCAAATAATCTGTGTAGGTATGTTTAAAGAAAATTTACAGTATTATACGCAGAATTTTTGAGGTACTGCGGTACAGATTCTTTATTTGAGTGCCAGCGGCAGATTACCGAGCGTGTCTCGCGCAGAGACTCACTTCAGCCACATAGTACACATATTCTGTGCTTCAGCTCTCCAGGACATAGGAGTTTATTTACCTATACTTATTTTGATTTACGCACTTAAATTTTAAACAAATTTAAAATAAATACACAGATTAAAGAAAAATCAATTATCAATTATAATTTCTTTCATTATTCTCGAAAAACTGTCAAATGGATTTTGTGACATTATTTTTAGAAAAAAGAAAAAATGCATTTTTAAATTTATGTAATTTACAATACATAAAAAAATATTTTAAATAGCTAGATTATAGTTTAAGTATCAAATTTTAATACATATATACTTATTTCAGATTTTTTACTATAAATATAATCTTGGATTAACGTTTTCAAAATTAACTTTGATATGATAAAGCGCCTTAACTAATTTAGAGATGTTTTCTGAATTCTACCGGGTGCGAATCTAGGACCTGATTCACGTAAATAAACGTGTGCAATTGCTCTAGCCTCTTGAATTATGTGAACGAAAAAACGCGGAACCGAGCGAGAGAATCTCAATATATTTCGGGCAATAAAATGTATCTCGTAAAAGCTATGTGCCAAACACACTCTCGGGTACAATGCCGTGTAGGCCTGTCACGAACGCATTGTGCTAGTCTAGGATCTACCATGAACAATATAGTCTTGAACAGGACTTAATGAAGATGTTAATGAACGAATGAATAAACCGATCATAAAACTATTTGTTGATATCCAATAATAGTACAAATTAAAAAGTATGTATGTTAATTGATTGAACGTCTCAATTTGCTAGTAATTTCATTTACAAAATGTTTCAGGTTCAATTTTAACGAAACTTGGTTACTTTTTCATTAGGTTCAATCACAACCAATTATAATTCCGAAAATTATAGACCAAATCGCTAATATATAACGAAAGATATCGTGATTGTTTTTTTTTTATGGACCTGGGAATAGCAAATAGTTTGACGGTGCATCTGATAAAAGTGATAATTGCCGCTTATAGACTTGAGCAGTCCCATTGACATCATATACTTTGATTCCCTATGGTACGTTTTACGTTTCTCTATTCAGTGGGTACGTTCCGTAAATTCGGGGATAGAGATGTTACGATCGTCATAAACCCTACCGTAAATAGGCCGAATGACCCATATTATATAGATTTGTGATTTTTCTCTATATTCTATAAATCTATAATATTATTGTAAATAAAACGCTAGTAAATAAAACGCTGGTTAGTGTTTAAGAAATTGATTGAAGAATGTGTTGCACTTATATGTTGTAACAAAAAAAAAAAAAAAGAGAAATTAAATAATAAAGAAAAATATAAAAACATAAACTACAAAAGCGTATGTTATAAAAATTGTTAATGATTTTAATATTTTTTTTATAATTTAAATTAAATTATAAAAAAAAATATTAAAATTTAATTTTTTTACTTTCGTGAATTTAACATCCGGTTGCTGTTAT